GGTCCTGGGACCTGTGTACATCGACTCAAGTTTCCATAACGCATTGACAGTAAGATGAAGTTCTCAGAGTAGCGGAGGTAGTAATAGTATTAGTGGTAATAGAAAAGATTAAGCATCGAAGATAAGATTTGAGAAAATGCAGATTAATGAAGTAAAAAACAATAGTAGAGCACTTATTATATTAGGAGAGACAAACAGTGAGTGCACCTGCGCCAATGAGAACAATTTTTAGCCAAATCAATTAAAGTCTAATCATCGGTTGCAATGAACACATGGAATCCAACCACACAGTTTGCATCTACCTACATGGCTCACTCCAACAGTCAGTATCTTTATGAACTGTTACTATCTCTTGGTTTATCCACACTTAACTTTAATCCAATTTACTCTTAAACTAGCCATCACGCGTCGACGTAGTCGTTGGATGATCACTAATTCGTCAACTGATATACCATCAATGTGAATGCAAAACAGAATATTCAAACAAACATGACATTCTTCATGGATACAATAATCAACTTTAGGTTTATTTTAACCAGAAATAGAAGAAAATTGATCGATCTATTTTGGAAAAGAAGAGCCAGTGAAAATAATAAATAATCCACAAATATGTGTAGGTCAACATCTAATTATTTTCATATTATATCGCCAACTGAAATAATTTCTATCTCTGTACACATTTAGTATGTATGGTTAGCCGAAACAGGATGGTGAATTTTTCTTGTTACATATAATCAGTAATGTCGCATATACTCAACTGTGTGTGAGTGTGTTATTTTACAGATTTGTTATTGATCACAGTAATTACTTTGTGAAGCATTGATGTGCACATATGAATTGGAGTGAAATAATTAGAAAAATGTGGATTTACCACACGACCGTCATCTTCATGGTCATTGTGTTCAGAGTTCAATTAAAATAAACTGTGAGCTTTTCTGAACAAGAAACAATACTTATTTTGGGTTTTAATTATTAAGCGATAAATACAATTTCCAATGATGTATTACTTAACTAAGTGGCATAAGACAAAATTGCTCAATCCCTGCTGACTAGAAAAACATATTACTGGTTGCTAAACAATTGAGGATTAGTTCCGTTGATAAGGCTTTAGAAAATCGGTTCAGCGTGACTGAAAGAATTGTGTGCTGTAACCCATTATTTGCAGTGAGCCACTAGAAGTAGTTTAGAAAATCGGCCTATTTCAGTAGCTTCTCGTCAAGTGGTTACAACTATTTATGTATTGAAATGTACCATTCAAGTAAAATATAATGTGGCACAACTGACAGTGGTGATGGGAAGAATTAAAATGACAGGGATTATAAAAAATGATATTGACAGTGTTATTCTAATTCTTCCTGTCAATAATGTCAATTTTTACATATTATGATTTACCTTAATGCTACATCCCAATGCATATACGGTTATAAGCAGCTGATGAAAAACCATGAAATGTGATAAATTCAAAATTTTCTACTTCAATTGTTTTTTTCGGCTTTATTCAAATTCATAAAAGGAACCAATCGCATGATATTTCAGTGGTTGTGTCAGTACTGGTGGTGTTGTGACTGATTATATTAATCTTGGCTTATTGAATGTCAAATGAGTTTATGTTGATCCAGTCCATCATTCATAACATCATGATGTTAGTTTGGCTGTAAAGGGTCGTGTTTTCAATAAACCGATTAGAGCAGCTTTGCTCTGTACTTGTGAAAACTAGCCTCTCTGAGTTGAGGATGCTTGGCAACTCTCTGTGTTCGATCATCTTTATTTTTGAAGGATTCCTGATATACATTAGCGACATCATATTAAGAATTCAGGTCTACAATGTGTATTGCGTCATAGTGATGACAATTTATATGACGTTAACAACTGGGAACATCGATTCTGGTGGCTTTTACATGTTTTACGAATACCACCACAGCGTCCCACACATCGTGTTTTGTTAGCCAGCTCTGGGATTAGTTGGAAAAGGCGAATTGATGGCCATTTTATGATATGGTGCCTGAGAGAATGAAAGCTGTTCAGGGCTAGCGCATGTCAATTCATCATAATCGCTTGGTCCGAAAGATAGTGCAACACAGCGTCTTGAGAGTTATACTATTCGTAACTCAATACTAAGTTTCTTATTCTGAATGCGTCAATTAATTGACTATAAGTAAAATAATATATTTCAAGTAATCTCAGAGATTGAAATTTAAGTGATTCCAACGTTCCGTCCACCTGACTTGTCTGGACTTCTTCAGGGTGATAGTCAAAGAAATATATAGCGTTTAACAATCAAATCAGGTCAACTCTATACTGTGCTAATACATTCATATACAGAGTTAAAAACTATTAAATTCAAAGATAATATCGATACCATCCATATAGAAGAGGATGAAACGATGAGAAGTTTTGATGTACCTTCCTTATTTATTAATGCGCCTATCAACAGAGAATTGGATATTATTTATGATTGTTTAGAATCTAACTCAGATTTGAATTCACGATGTCTGTCAGATCCATCCGAAGCTATTAAGTGCTTGGAATTGTGTTTACAATCCACATTAGTCACATTTCGGGGAGACCTGAACAGAAAAATAGAACGTATAACAATGGGTTCACTAGTTTCTCCGATTGTAGTGAATTTATTCATGCATACCCTGGAAACCAATGCGATCACAAGATGTGCACATCTACCAAAAGTCTGGTTATGGCATGTAGAGGACATTTTTACTATCATTAAACGAAATGGTTTGGAAGAATTGCTTGATGTAAACAGCATTTCAGAGAGCATCAAGCTAACACAGGAAATAGAGTCCAGTGACCACAAACTAGCGTTTCTCGATTGTTTGATTAAACGAAGACATAATAATACATTGAAAATAAGTGCATTCAGGAAATCAACACATTCTGAAAGATAATTAGATTGTGGTTCGGCTTATGCGCTGTGTACGAAAGTCACTCTTGTTAAAAACTTAATCAACAGAAGTATTAAGCTCGTTACAGATAAGGAAGACCACAAGTTGAATTGAATAGAGGTTTGTCTACACTTGGGGATAACATCTACCCAAACGTTTCTAAAGAAGATTATTAGAAATGAAAGAATAGCTAAACTAGAATGTATTTCGAAAGTTCACCATGGTCACCCCATACCGTAGTGACACACTGGAAGAAATCAGAAGGATTCTAAACAAGCATGATATAAGAGTGTATTTTCAGGTTAGTGACACCATAAGATGGGCATTAGTGAAGGTTTAGGATAGGTTCCCGAAAGAGGAACAACAGAATACTGTTTATGAGACTAACGGTCATGAATGTGATGCAGATTATGTGGGAGAAACTTCAAGGCAATTTAATGTAAGATCGAAGGGACACATAAAGTGTGTGAAAAATGTTCTCGAATCCTTGGTTGATATGAAGGAACTTGAGAATATGTCAGTGATAGCGTTACATGCGTTGGAAACAGGACACGAGATCAACTTCAGATAGGTTTTAACACTGATAAAGAAGGATTGACAGCAGAAGCGCTATATCTATGGGCAAATAAGAACAACCTGAACAGAAAGGGTAATATTCAACCATCAACTACTTGGTAAATGTTCGTTAACAAGTAATTGGGTCCTTTCTTTATCCAACCTGTTTATTTCACATACATCGTTATTCTGACTGAAATTAATGTGGGTCAATTTAGCAATAGAATTATGCATTTAACAATTCGCATTTTACTTTCACATCGACGATTCAGAAACAATTTTTTAACCTTCAACTTGCACTTTAATATTTCCTTCATATACAAACAAATTAACACTTAGTATCAACTACTAATAATTCAATTTTACGCATACATGCACACACAATTTGTTCGGTCATTTATTTTCACATGATTCGCCTTTAACTGACTCATGTTATCCTACTTACTAAAGTCAAGATCCAAATATGACTGGATTAGCGCTATATATTTCTTTGATTATTACCCTGAAGAAATCCAGACAAGTTTGCTGGAGGAAACGTTGGAGTTATATTTCAAATGTGAATTTTACCTATAATGACTTCTCTATACTCGGAGCCCAATTGTCGTTATGCTATTTCGATCTAACATTGACAAATATTCGTGCAAATTAACTGACCAGTTTACTTGCGACTATCTGGAATCAATTGTTATAATTTATCCATGAAACGAATTCACTACCAACGTCTGAACGACACGTCGATAACTTCCTCCTTTCCTATACTAACTTAAAAGTCCTTAAATTGAAGAATGTGTGTCACTTCATCAGTGAAGTTATAGGTGGAAATTGTTATCATGGAGCATACTTGTCAAAATTTCCTTCATAGTGATTTTATTACAAGGTTATATTATTCCTGGTTAATTCCAGACCTCATCCTAACTATAACAGACCTTTCGTTCTTGTAAGGATATATACAGATCAGTTCGTTGGTTCAGATAATTTTTTTTATCTAGATCTGTATTTTATGAAACAATCAAAAACGTAATGACAATAGACCTATCACAAGAATTTTCCTTGTTATTCCATGTTTTTTATTTTCATTGACTTTGCTTCTAATTGTAGATGATTATAAGTACCCTTTAATAGAGTTGGAATCATTCATCATTAAATTGCACTTTTTCAAACATGACATAGCAATCCTTGTATCAAGAAAATACTAGTTTCTGAATGTCGCACTGTATGCGATATTTATCATTACAAAACTTTCATAAAGTTCTGACAATGCCATTGAACATATTTCCATGTTACATTCTTGATTACAGACATATCTATAATTACAAGATTGATTTTGATTACATTATATACTCCGATAATAATGTTGTACACCAAAATGATATTACCTCAGATTATGCATTTTATCTACATAGTATATTTTACATTATTACAAATTGAGTAACAAACATTCAAATAAAAACATCCTACGAATCAGTTGTTTTTAAATAATACATTTTTATTGTTCCATTTCTATTATTATTATTATTATTATTATTATTATTATTATTATTATTATTATTATTATTATTATTATTATTAACCTTGATTATGCTTGTAAATCAGTAAGCACTTTGTAATTATTTTCAAAATATGAATTACATCGTTTAGATAATATTCAAAGTAAACACTATCAATATTGTCCTGTTTTACTGACTGATTTTTAATGACAGTAAAAGAGAAACAACAACAAAAGAAGAAGAAAAAAACGGAACAACAACATAGAATTAATGAATTGAAGTATTTTTATTTTCAAGAAAAAAGAAAATAACTTTTTTCATATTTATATATAAATCAAAATATTATTAATCATTGTTATTGTTTAAACATACATGATGTAAATGGTAATGGACTCTATTGTGGTGCGTGCTACTTATATTGATATAAGTAGTATATAACGTGAGTTAAAATAACATAATGTCTGGCAGCAGAAGATGGGGAAGATTAAGAAAGGAAGAGCCAGAACACAATGGAATTTGTAAGAAATCGCATGAACAATGAAATGTGAGACAATGGATTGATGTTTGCAACAGCAACAGCCCGGTTTGATACGATGGAATGATATTTTGCAAATTAACGATTTACTATAATGGTTTTCTATTTTACAAAGTAACTCTGTAATTTTGTGCTAAATACAATTTGGTTGTCCTCACCTGCGTTCTCCCTCACTACACTATGACAATATTAAATAAGAATGAAATTAATGGAAAAGAAGAGATAAGACAATCTTTTCTTTATCTTTTTGTTTCTTTATTCTTTTTCTTTTTGAAAGCATCATTGATTGCTTCATTCTATTCAACTGTTTTCCTCTTTTCTCTCTCTCTCTCTCTTTGGAATTATTTATTATTAACGTCAAATTTACTGTTTAGAGAATATTGATTCTGTGTTTGGTTTGGGCACTGTATATGGATAATTGTGGTGTAAAAATATTAGTTATAAATGTAAATTAATTTCTGATAGATTATTCATTATTGTTCAGTAATCTTTCAAATGAAAATAAATAAAATGAAATATTATTTAATGAATATGAAGTGATTTATATTAGTTAGTAGGTCATAAACAACATAGAATCTGATAAATATTCGGATCGGTTCAACTTGTTCATACTACATCAACACAGTATAATGAAATTATCAAGACAAACGCATCAGGATAGTAGAACTGCTAACAGAATTAGTGACAGTAAAGGATGAAAACATAAGGCATAGAGAATATGGATCTTGAAGCAAAAATTAATTTGATGAATATCAAGTATAAGATAATTTTGAAACTCAAGATGTAAGGAAAGATAAAGAGTGAATACATCTGAACCGTTCAGATTAGTTTTGAGACATGCCACCACAATCAAACATCTTCAATTAGTGGTTATGATAATCGAGTGGACCTCAATAAAGCATAGTCTGTAACTATCGACAAGGGTTAGTTCAACAATCAATGAGTTCCTGGATTGATCTTATGTTTTGTTTTTCTCTCCTCTAGTTTTTTTCCAGCTTACTCACACACCAGCAAACATTAGTCTACTGACTTTAATAAATCACATGCACTAATTTTCTGACACTAGAACGCAGAGTACATTTTGCTTTAAAAATTGGCACAAATATGGAAAATCGATTCAAGAGTTGCTAACACTGTAATAAACAGTATAAGTAAGTGTGAAAATTAACAATAACTAGTTTGAAAATGATGAAGAAAGTAATAATCATTTAGACTGTAGAATATTTAGGATAGAATAGGTCAGACTTAAACTTAATTGCTTGACAATTAATGCAAAACAGTTAAAAGCAAATAGTCTTATATAAAATACATACTTAACAAACTAAACTACTTAATATGTATAAACGATACATGAATATAAGCCAATCACATTGAAATGTGCATAGAATATTATTTCATGATGATGGCCATTATTTCCAAATTGATTAAAGTTCTGAATCATTGTGCAGTTCATAAACGATTTAAAAAATTAACGGATGATCTTAAAATTTATCACTTAATGAAAACGTTAGCTATGTGATTCTTACGCTACTGCTAAGGCGGTTGCACGAATAGTCAGATTTTCTTAGGAAGGCTAAGATCTGTTGTGGAACGATAATTTCTGCCCACTCGATTTTCCGTATGACCTTTGCCCTCTAACTGGTTGCCATGTTTTTTTAGTTCGATAAGCTGCTACATACTCGAAGGTCATATTCTGCTAATATAGTAACAACTTTTGTACCAATTTTGTTTGAGTTGCTTGTTCTACCACAAATGTCAAGTTACCTGCATATCGTCTTCTTCCTGTCTTAGCCGTCGAGGTTTGATGTGTTGAGTATAATTGATTGTTGTCAGTTCCAAAGAGAACCAATCGTATTAGAGGAACTCAATCGTTTTTGTTCCTAAATCCATAACCTCATTGGCCGTACTGAACCTCAACAACAAGACACAACAGCTACATAGATACATTAAAAACTTCGGAAACACCGGTAGAAAAAGCTATCCACATTTTTTCCCTCATCACGGTTCTACGCCACTTCATAGTTGTATACAGTGTAGTATACAACAATCAGGTTTAACTATCGCAATGATTGAATAACTTCAAAACAATAGAGACGACGAAGACAAATTCTTAAGTAGCATTAAACATTAAACTCATGATTTTCTCGTAAAAAAAAAGAAACAAAACATAATAAACACGAATAAAAAATCACTTACCACTGGTGTAATAAACTTACTAATCGGAACAATATATTGAATTGTATTCTCAGGTGTAATATCCGGATTGGATAAAGTTGTTTTTGATTCATTAAGAATTAGGTCTTGAGAAGACGAGGAGGAGGAAGAATACAATTCTGGAGGGTTGTTAATACTCATCAACATTCGAGACCGACCTAATTAGATGGTTAAAAGAAAACAACAAAAATACATGTATATTATTAGTTATTATACTTGGAGAAAAAAAACAACTGAAAAATACTTATTGAAGGTGTCAATAAATCTTAGATAACTGAATCTGCTGTTGAGATTATTTGAGAACGTGAAGCTAAACTTATCCAAAGTTCACGTATGTGTGTATATAGCTGTTTATAAACTGATTAACGGATAGATTTGAATGTGATATCATCATTCACATACATTGAAACAAATTATGAAAGTAAATAGATGTAATTTTCTCAGTAAGTTAAGGTGGATTAGTCGTGTATTCCCACATTCCATAGTTTTTTTTTACTGTTTTTTACGACACAATGGAATATATAAAAGTGTAATGAATACACTTATCCTTTTTGGCTCACAAAAGAATCTTGAGCGATTAATTCCTTCCGTTTCTTGTCAACAGCATTCCAAACAAAAAGTAAGTTTACATAGATGATATACCTGCCACCTTAATAAGAAAAGTAGGTACAAATTAGTATAATTTACATTCAATCACTCTGATGTCAAGGCTGAGTGATATTATCGGGTTGTGCAAACCGAAGTAGGTGGAGTGGTATTCGGAATCACACCTTAGTGACTGAAAGTTGAATGCCATAAACACTGAGCCACCACTCCACTCACAGAATTGTAGTGGCGTGTCAAGATCTGCAAAGTTAACCAATTAATAAGTGAGACAGTAAAGAGTACTAATGATACTAAATGAAAGCCGTATCATATATCACCGAATTAATAAGAATTAAAAATGTAGAATCTAACGGGTTTCGATAACTAAGAAGTATTGTCGGTGCTATAAGTACTGAAAGTTATGACTTTGATTGTATCATACAAAGCCGTTGACTTCGGTATGAATTGTTGAAAAGTACCGAGCATATGATACAATAGCATATGTTCAATACTTTCTAGTTTTGCTTTAGCTATTGTCAGTTTTACATTGAAGCCGACCTAAAAACCACCCGATTAAACTTTACTACGTTAAAGGTTTACGAGCTTTCAAATATATATACATATATAATAAGCGCTTTTAGTTGGGGAAGCGAGGAAATTTACAAAATCAAGTTATACCATATAACTTTTTGGTAATTTGTTTGTATTATATTGAGGGGTTTCTCACAACCATATGTTCTCACACTATGCGTACTTCACCCTAGCGGCCAACTTCTAAAATATTTTTCTTCGCTAGTTTTGTTAATTCTTTAATATACTACTGGTTTTGACCTCATTATTAAGGCTGTTGTAAATATATTTATACACATAATTGGTTTGCGAGTAAGTGATACTAACCGACAATTTAAATCCGAATTGAATGAAGCAACTTAAGTTCAAGCTGGTGACTCAATAGCTAATCATCACTGATCACTTCACATTTATCTCAAAACAGATGAGACAATAGGTAATGAAGATACATTACGAATAGGCAAGACAAAAAACACACAAATATGCACACATAATAAAATTGAATGCTAACCTGGAAATGAACTGAAAAAATTTTTTGTAGACATCGATGATGCAGTATCTAACGTTTTTATGACCGACGGTATTGGAACTACAGCAGTCCACATCAATATCATAAACGTCATTAACAAGAGACTAGTCCCACCGGCTGCCGCTTTAGCGGCTTGTTTAGCAGTCACCTTATTATTATTATTATTATTAAATTCAGTATTGTTGGAGTTTATGAATAATGGTAAATAGGACTTTTCACTTCGTTTATTCATGAATTTATTGATATAAGACCGTAATTTGCGTAGATGTATTGTAAGACTCCTGATATAAAGTAGAGAAAAGCAAAAACAAACGCAAAAATTACATTAAATAACCAGTTGTAAAATAAAATGCTTAAGTGTTGCAATGTCACACTTATATAATTAACAATTCCATTGAGCCGATTACCGTAAACGTCAGGGTCGACAGCTTCAAATATAAGTAATTTATACATTACAAAATTTATTAATCAAAACATCTTAAAGTTAAATGGATGGTGGTGTGATTCGCTTATTATGACTACTATTCATGAATAACTAGTCTGATTTCTTCGGTTAATTATAAACTGATTGTTCTCTTATTGGTTGATAAACTTTACCCGTTCGGATGTACTGAATTGTCAGAGCCAAGAGTAAACTGTTTCTGCTGAGTTTATCACTTTGAATGTGTTCTTTGTAACCTAAACTAACCATTATTAATTGTAGAACTATTTACTATTTATATATGTTCATATATAAATATTTCGATGGGTGAAGAGAGTCTTTTGACTTTCATCGACCTTGGATACGTTCTTCCGATGAGCAATATTTGCTCTAGAGTACACTAAGTATTCAAAAGGTGATTACATACTTAGATTCCAAGCTATGGGATATGCTATTAATGAATCAAAATATGTAAGTATGCATCAAACACTACACGAATATGAGCAATTCCCTCATATCTGATTAACTGCAATTTGTGGACAGTACTAAGAGAAATATTAAGAATGAAGGGTCGCAAAACAATGCTTAGAACTAAGGCTGTAGAATTGTATCATAAACCAATTATATGTTTGAGAAATATGTATATAAAAATACATAAACTGATTCACATGAAAAAAGAACTGCTTGACTTGTATAGTTTCTATTCCCTTGCCTCCTTCTCCGATAGTCAGTACAGTCAATCACTAAATTACAAATTTATTACGTCTACAACAATTTAAGCAGTAGAAAAGAACCATTTTATTCATTAGCAACATTCAAATATAAAACTAAGTATACGGAAAGAATGGTCTTAAATTCGAATGACAACAGAGGTTATTCAATAATTTCAGGTTTTTCATGTGTTTTCATTATTTGATATCAGTTCATGATAATAAATTACCTTTAAAAGTAAATAAATCTCATAATTGAATTGATCAGAATTATTGCACTTAATAAAAACATTTGCTTACAAGCCTCAACTAGCATGAAACCTAGATGAAGTAAGAGATGCTGTCGACTACTTTCAATCACCAATCATCGCAATTTTATGCAAAGGTATGTAGAAGTGAGTGGTGATTAATATCATGCTTGTCTAGTCCTTTAGGGTTGGTCAGATTCTATCGATCAAGTTGCAATCTGCCCACTAGTCTAAGTGACTTAACAATATGTGCACTGCATTAATTTTATCGACTGTTTGTCAAGTGGAAATATGAGAAAAAAGAACAGAAATTAAATAGTGTTTGACAAATTTGTTTGTATTTATAACTATGATTTGCTTTATGGATCGAAAACGTAAAAAGAAAGGTAAACAATCATTAAATAAAACCGATTATATGCTGGTGAAGATGATAAAATTATGACTGGATGAAAATTTTCTGTTAGATAATTTCAGATAAATGTTGCACAGGAAAAATTGTCACGAATGAATATGAGATAAAAATTTAGGGAGAAATTAGTTTGAGAGTTTATATGTACACACATAATATTCACCATTCGGCGGGTTTTGAAACATAGAGATATTTTTCGACGTCCGATTATAAATGTAATCCTTGACCTTAAGGTGGTGTTTGACTCCGTTGATTTTCAGGTTTTGTGGCAGTGTTTTTCATTCAAAGGTGTACAAAACATGTACATCAACTTTGTACAGACTCTCTCTACTCGAACACTACTAGTCGATTCAGATTTTATGGTAAACTTTCATCGGAATCAGTTACTTCAAGTGGTGTTCGACAGAGTTGTCCGCTTTCCCCATTTTTATTTAACTTCGTTACAGATATGCTTTGAGGAATAACACTCTATAGGTGTCCACGAAGCATTGCTCGTGCATTTTGGGACCATACAGTAAGCAATGCCTGAGTTAGGAATAGAGTACTAAGTAAAGGTGGGAATTCGATTGATATGGTAGTAAATCTTCATCAACTGAGGTGGTTGGGAAATGTGTTACGTATGTCCAACCACTGCCTGTCTTGACTGGCTATGTTTTTTGGTGTAGGAGCAGGTTGGAAGAAAGTTAGGGGCGGTCAAACCAAAACATGACATTAATTTCTGAAGTCGTTGACAATTGGAATTAGCCATATTCATAGCTGTAAACTACTTGATTGAGGTACGCGTGAATATCGTAACCGATAGTTAGAGACTATGAATGATATGACTCAAAATAGTTTGCAATGGTGCAGGCGCATCCGTCCTTTATCTCCCCTAAAGTCTGAAATTCTAAATTCGACGGAGTCTATAACCCAACATTACTACTTTGTATTGCACAGATTTATGGCACACATCAAATTGATCACCACCTTATTTTTTCCACCTAGTCTTAGGGGAAGAGATCAGGGTCACTGTTGTTACTTAGGTTCCCGGAGTGGATGCTTGACTATCAGCTTTTATTATGCTAAAGCAATATCTTTTCGGCATAGATTACTTGTGACTGGATTTAAGTGCTTAACGGATCAATCTACACTTACAACCTGAAAAAACCTGCTCTATATCTTGTGAATCATTTGTTTATGTATATTTTGCATAATTTACGTAGCATAGCCCAGACAATACTTCATAGTCAAGTGATAGTAGGTTTACATTTCGATTATTGTTCAATTCTTTAAGATTTATTTGGATCTAAATCTGAATTTCAGAGAGATATCTCCAGGTTGCATCAAAACTTAATGCTATCTAGAAACATTTCTTTATTCTCTACAAGGCTACAGAACATATTCTCTGTTATCTAACCGAAAAATACCCACATCGGTTAGTCAAATGATGCTTCACTGTGTCTAGACGCCAAACCTACACATCCAAGTGTCCAGCTAGCATTGAAATATCACAACGAATGTACCTTGGTGAAGCCATTCCGTTGGTGACAAAACTTATCCCTTGATTATACTCTAGATAAAGTCCATCTACATCATATATATGCGTTAAACTGGCTAGGAGATTTTTCAAACAGTGGGTGCCAACTTCTGATATTTTTAGTTTTAAAGAAAGATATTTTCTAAATGTTTGGGTACTATTTAAGATGAGTTAACATTTTTAGTCTAATCATTTTTCATACAGTCTTACTAGCGATTACAATTACAATTCTAAATAAACAGGATTATGAGAAGTAATGTAAAACTGGAAAAAATGAAACAGGTGTAGTGAAATAAAAGGCCCAAATGAATTTAAATGGTCTATCGTGTTTAGTTTACTAAATTGATAACACATTCACTGTACAACTTATCAAACGACAAAGCACTACTTTACAGTGAATAACCAATTTAAGCATAAGTGGTTGTTAGCTTAAAAAACATACATACAATTAATCTTTCTAATCTGAAACACTAGTTAGATATTTTGTAAAAAAAAATAGTGAAGAATAGTAATAACGTAGTGGATGCTAATCACATGAATGTTTGTAGATAATGTGTAGTTGAATGTGGCGTCGAAATTGCAACAGTTGTGAAGAATTTTAGTACATAGGAAGAACGGCGTTTGCATGACACTTGGAAACCAGACGAGAAAGCAGTTCAGATGGCAGAACACAACACAAGATACAAATGGAAGATTGAAGACTACGTATATGTATTCGTGCGCTGTTACGGGTATGAGGGCTGATATCACTTCTCGGCTGCCCACACCGTGAAAGGGTATTTCTTGAGGAACCTCAAAAAGAAGTCGGATTAGTGTTGGTCTTAACGACCTGGGAGCGTGAACGCAGAGCAGAAGGGACAACTGCTTGAGGCCGGTCGCGCACGGCCTTTTCGTGGAAGGTTTTTGGTGTGTTAGCTCCGTTCTTCAAAGGGCATTACCGCCGGAGACGGAAATCCGTGAGGTAAGGTGAGGTGTGACATTTTTAGGGTCGAACTTTTCTAACCCCACCCCTCCTTGTGGGAAGGCAGCATCGCTGCAGATGCTGGTTGTCCGAGGGAAACACCTTACTGCAAAATCTACTTATTTATTTGTAGTAGTTAATGATGGTTTTTGTTTTTATAAGAAAACAGATTTTTTAACTCATTTAATCTCTTTTTACAAAAAGAAAAAAAACAAATATCTTGTTGATATATATATATATTACTTAATATTCAAATAAGATTCCAATGATTCATTAAACTCATTCTCTTCAGATAAATTCTAAACTTTAAGGTAGATAATAAAAAGGAATAGAAAAATTGATGTTGAAAGTTTAGTTATGTAACCAGCTTTTTGTATTTAAGCAAGATGCGATACTTGTTTCTTTATACTCTATCATGATAGGTAGCTTAGATAAAGAACACTAAGATAAAAAGGAACAAATATATAATTAGAGAACAAAGTGGAAATTCTGATTGTTCAGAGTTGTGATCATAGTAATAAGTTTTTCCATAACAACTAACATTTGTAGCTTTGTTGTCTTTTAACAACAGAATTATGGGGTTAGAATAGATTAGTTTTAAATATAATATACCTCAAATCAATTTGAATTTTTCTGTATGTATGAAATAATGTCATCTAAAACTACTCACAAACAGACCATTTGTAATCAACCGTAAGCAGTTGATATTTAAGCATTATAATCATTTCTCCAGATTTTTAAGACCATTTTTAATAAAGTTTCTATAATAGGTAATTCAATAAGGAATACTTTTCCACTGCTTAAGCGACTGCATAGTAACAACCGCTTTTATGTTCCTAACAGCATCTGTGATCAACATGTTCACAATCGATTTGAAAAAATCTCAACTAGTAGAATAGATTGTGTAATACGATAGTTATGATTGATGGTAAACAATTATATAGCACCTAATGGAATTATTTCAATCATTTTAATTTTTTAATTAACTAGTGATTTGTTATCTTGAACCTGAATGTTTTAATTTCACCTTGATCAAAATTTATTACTACCAATTATGGTTAATAGACAGAAGAATGTTGTATGAAATTTCTGAAGTAGATAATTATAACACCGTTATAATTACGCATTGTTGGCCCGACCGAAGCTGCTACCTTGACGCGGTGGTCGGGCTTGCCTATCGTGATGACCCAACCGAGCTATATTGGCTGGAATATATGTTCCTGAAGCTTCTACCATGCCAGGCAGGTCGATCGGAGAACGGTAAGACTAAACGCAGCAACTCAAGGTCTGAGGTAGAAGGCGTACTGCTGACTGTAGAGAGGTGTGACAGCAGTAGCGTCATTCATTTGACCTCACCATGCCAAAATAAAGAACCAACTCGATTCACACTTCGTGTATCTGGAAGCCCTGATTCTGCTTCCCGTGGCCTCGCCGGGGTAGGTATAGCATTGTGTTCTAGGGTAGAACTAGCTCTCTTAGAGTGGATCCCAGTAAACAGTCGTTTGTGCGCTGTCCGACTGAACGGAACAGTAAGAATCCGGAAAGATAGGGACACTCGTCGTTGCCTCTTCATCGTCTCTGCCTATTCTCCCACTGACTGCAGCTCAGATGATGTAAAAGATGAGTTTTACAGAAAGCTCTCAGACCTTCTCCGAAAAGCTAGGCGCACTGATATAGTAATAGTGGCTGGTGACTTTGATGCTCAAGTACGTAAACTAAGCGATAGGGAAAGACACCTGGGTGGGTCTAATAACATCGTGGCTCAACGAACAGATAATGGCGACCGTCTGTTGCAGCTATGCTCAGATAACCGCCTGCTCCTTGCAAATACTAACTTTAAGCATAAGGATAAACATCTTTTAACATGGCGACCCCCTAATTCGTCCCAACGTTGGACCCAAATAGATCACATCGCTATCAGCCACCGATGGAGGGGCTCGATAGAAGACTGTCGCTCATTCTGGAGCACATGCTTAGATTCAGATCATGCTCTAGTACGAGCGCGTATTTGCCTGCGTCTTACTGGACGTAGGAAAGACGCTGCCAGGAAACCTCTTAGGGGCCTACTTAATGATAGTCAGGCTAAGAGTATATTTCAGGAACAACTAGGAAAACAGTTAGGCAGCCATGTTGGTGATGCCCACCCCGATGCAGCATGGAATGATTTTCGAAAAAATGTGGAAACAGCAATGATATCTGCTAGTAAGGTAAACCACAAGGTTAGGGAGAAACATTGGATCTCAGCAGCATCTATCGCACTGATAGATGCTCGGAAACTCATTCCACCTGGCTCTGAACATAATGAAAAGCGGAGTCAACTTAAGCGCAAGCTGACAAGAAGTCTACGCAATGACCGTGAACAGTGGTGGGTAGCGAAAGCAAGAGAGATGGAAAAGGCAGCAGCAATAGGTAATAGCAGACAATTGTTCAGACTCGTTAAGAAAACCGGAATTAGGAACCCGACCGTTAGCGATACAATCTCCGAGAAAGATGGACATATTATTCATTCTCAATCCAGGAGATTGGATCGATGGGCAGAATACTTTAGGGATCAGTTCAACTGGCCTTCAGCCACACTTCGGTTTCCCACGATCTGTAGTCAACCTGAATGGCAAGCTAATGTAGGTCCTCCGTCCCTTTACGAAGTTGAAAAAGCCATAGGAAATCTGAAGCGAGGGCAGCCGGGAAGTGACACCAGACCTCATACCCGTAACAACACACGAGACCAAGTTGGTCACATTCAAATCCTTCCTACACCTCCTAATACCACTCTAAGCAGTGAGATTAACTGAGGTCGTAGGTAGAATTTGGGAACTGGACGTAATCCCATCTGACTGGTCTCAATCACTGATGGTGCCAATCTATAAGAAAGGACAAACGTCCTCTTGTGACAATCACAGAGGAATCAGTTTGACTAATATAGTGTCTAAAATATTAGCTTCAATAATACTTCGACGCCCAACTAAAGCTCGTGAAGAGCAGACTAGAGAAAATCAGGCTGGTTTTCGACCTGGACGTGGTTGTATAGATCAGATATTCACACTACGTCAGGTTCTAGAACACAGACACACATTCAGACGCCCCACAATCGTAGTATTTCGCGACCTCAAAGCAGCATTCGACTATGTTGATCGTGAGGTTCTATGGCAGTGTTTCTCATTGAAAGGAGTACCAAAGAAGTACATTAACCTTCTAAAGCCTCTCTACTCGAACACAACTGGTAGAGTGAGAGCTTATGGCGAACTGTCATCAGAATTGATTACCTCAAGTGGTGTTCATCAGGGCTGCCCACTGTCCATTCTTGTTCAACTTTGTGGTCGACGTACTTTTAGAGATGACACTTTCCTCGTCTAGATTTCCAGGGGTTGAACTTCTACCGGGAGGTTCACTTGTTGACTTAGAATATGCGGATGACATAGTTTTATTTGGCGAAGACGCTGACAAAATGCAGAGTCTTCTGACCATTCTAAGCAACAATGCAAGCATGTTCGGCATGCGATTCCCTCCCTCGAAATGCAAAATATTGCTTCAGGATTGGGTTACATCGACACCCAAACTAGAGATAGGGAGTGAAGTAGTTGAGTGTGTCGACCGCTTCACTTATCTTGGAAGTCTCATCAGCCCTTGTGGTCTGGTGTGTGACGAAATCTCAGCACGGATACACAAGGCTCGACTAGGTTTTACCAACTTGCGTCATTTATGGCGTATGCGGGATATCCGTCTATCAACCAAAGGACGTGTTTACTGCGCAGCAGTTCGTTCCGTCCTACTTTACGGCAGTGAAACATGGCCGGTAAGAGTAGAGGATATTCGTAGGTTACTAGTATTCGATCATAGGTGTCTTCGAAACATTGCTCGTATATCACGGGACCATCGAGTAAGTAACACAGTTGTTAGGAAACGGGTACTAGGTAAGGATGGCAAATCAATTGATGAAGTAGTGAAACTTCATCAGTTGAGATGGCTGGGACACGTGTTACGTATGCCCAACCACCGACTACCTCGACGTGCTATGTTCAGTGGTATAGGAGAAGGTTGGAAGAAAGCTAGAGGCGGCCAAATCAAAACATGGCACAAGTCCATGAAGTCACTGACAAGTAGACTGAGTCATGTTGGCAGGTGTAGACTACCTGGTTGGGGACAGCGAGATGATAGCAACCGATGGTTAGGGACACTGAATGACATGGCTCAAAATCGTTTGCAATGGTGTGCGCAGGTGCATCCACTCTTTGTGTTCTCCCAAATTCTAATCTTCTGAATTCTTCATGTCCCTTTCTTTTTTCTCTTTCCAAATTTATTTCACTGGATTATACTCCTTGAATAACATCTCCAAACCCTAATCTTCCCGATTACTGCTTATGTTCTTGCTACCTCTACCACTACGGGATTTGAATCGACAACTGCATCTCTGTGCTAAGGTGGTGTGGGAACTCGAACTGATGTACGTATGTACGAAGTTCTACGTTGTTACTGACTGACTGACTGTCCCCTCTACAGTCAGCAGTACGACTTCTCTCTCAGACCTTGAGTTGCTGCGTTTAGTCTTACCGTTCTCCGATCGACCTGCCTGGCATGGTAGAACCTATAGGAACATATGTTCCAGCCAATATAGCTCGGTTGGGTCATCACGATAGGCAAGCCCGACCACCGCGTCAAGGTAGCAGCTTCAGTCGGGACGTATATGTATTATGTAAATATTTTGTAGCTTCTCGCAATAAACATACTTTTCTTCTGCCTATAGTTATGTTTTATAATAACACAATAGATTTTAAATCAATTGAACGTCACACAAAATGCCCCAACGTTATGGAGGTTTTTTGTGATTCGACTAGAAGAAACTTTCGATTGTTAAAATCAATGCATAAAATGCTAATCGATAGATGAACACAATAATATAATGTGATGAATGATGGCTACTGACGAGACCGCATTATTGACTTACGTCCCCGAATAATTATAAATCAAAGACAAGACTACTACTAGCCAGATAAACAGCTTTTTTCATTCAATAAAATAACACGCTTATATGAAAAAAAGAACACAAAATAAACATGATGAAATGCCATGGGTGATCGGAGGAAATTAGCTTTTAGGTCATTCATGCGCTAATCAATTACGACTTGACTGGTAGGCCTGTTTTCTGGACATTGTATCTCCAGAGAGGTGTCAAAAAAATTAAATGGGCAAATAGTTTGAAGCATACGTATTAATTACATCACCGACTGACCTTAGTTAGACAACCAGTCAAAACCAGAGAGCACCGGACAACTGTTTCGTTCTAGTATGAAACTTTTCAATAATGCACAATTAGGACCCACGAGTTTCACGGTGAGCGCTTGACTATTAGAGTTTAATGAGATGAAACTGAAAATTCAACCAGTTCACAATCGTCGTACTACATCACCTGCTCAGTGGTTCGCCGGTAAAACTGTAGGTCCTGAGTCAGATGTATAGTATGGTCGTGGATGCGCAATGCGGAGGAGGATTATGCTACGACAGAACGGCTATTTACAGCTCTTTTTTCGGTGGTTGTCTAACCAAGGTCAGAACATGATGTGAACCATAAAATTAAGTGATATCCGAAAACTCCCTATACTAACACATATTAATTGATTATTTAAAAGAATTACCGTTTATCTTCCTCCAATTCATATACTTGTCGACGTAATTGTTTGATTTCTTCAGTACACATAGAATACCGACGTTCCAAGTCAATTACATACCTTTGACGTTTGGCACGACTAGCTTGAGCAGAGAGTTTATTACGAATTTTTCGTCTGACAGTACGTATTGCTTTTTCATTAGTTTGACTTAATGGAAATTTGATAGGTAGTTGACAACCGATTCTTTGGAGCATTTTATATTCTTCTGAAGTTAATTTAACGCATTCTCCCTGTGAAATGAATAAGTAGGGATAAGAATTGTCATAAATAACTACGCAATAGGTCAAATGATAGCCAAGTTGACAACAAAATGAGTTATTTAAGAAATCGTTCGTAGCAAGTGATAGAACAAACGAGTGACTAATATTAGAGAAACAAAACATTTAACAAGGTCGTGAATCTATGCCGACTGATAAGACTGATGAATGTGCTACGCATACACTTCAACGGATTATTCTAATGTGCAGTGTTTGCTGAACTGATAGTATTAGTAGTGAAATTAAACCTACGAAGATAATTAACTTAAAAGAGTCTAAATAGATTCGAAGTAATAACATAACTCAGATTAAGAGAAAATAAGAGTCTACTTGGAAATGGAATTAGCGTTGCGACAAGTTCCATTAGCTTGGAACTGCAAAAAGACAAAATGATACAGGGCTTAGCCAAGTAACATTATTAAAAATTTAATCAAATCGTATTGCCTCACATATTAATAGAAAAAAAAACCCAGTAAGATATGTGTTACGCTTTACGAACCACTATCTACCTTACAATGGAATGATGGCTGGTTCACGAGCAGATTGTAATAAAACTGGCAGTAGTCAAACCAAGACTTTGTATTCGTCCATGAAATAATTAACTGTTGGTCTAACCTATGCTATCAGATGAACATTACCTGGTTGAAGTCCTTGTTATAACATTGACCAGAAGTTGGAGAAAAGTTACATGGCTCGTAATCAGTAACAATAACAAAGGTGCACTATTTGTTTTGTTAGAGACCTTTAGTCATAACATAATTTTATACTTTATAATCAACAAATTCATTCCTTATTTTTAATCACATTTTTAGTATTTAACCTTTCATCCTGTTGGTGACATTTGAGGTGGAAGCCGAGAGAGGAAATTTAAAGTTGAAAGTCGATGTAGGAGGAATAATAGGAATTGAAGAGGAAGGTTGATTATGAATACAGTGGTCTTGAGTGCTGTTAGAGGTATGAGGGCGGTTTTCACTTCCCGGTTGCCCACACCGTGGAAGGGTTGTTCTGGAGGTACCTGAAAAGGAATTTGGATTAAAGGTGGTCTTAGTGACCTGAGAGCGTGACCGCAGTGCCCAAGGGACAACTGCTTGAGGTCGGTCACACACGACCTTGTTATGGGTAATTTTTGTGTTAGCTCCGTACTTATTGGGACCTTACCGCCGGAGACGGATATCCGTGGGATAAGGCGAGGTGTGCATTTTTAGGGTCGACCTTTTCTAACCCCACCCCTCCTTGTGGGAAGGCAGCATCGCTGTCATGCTGGTTGTCTGAAGGAAACACCTTACTGCTGTCCCACCTCTGTACAGTCAGCAGTACGACTTCGCCTTCGGACCTTGGGTTTGTTGCTTTTAGTCTTACCGCTCTTCAACCGACCTGTCTGACATGGTGGGACCTTAGGAACGGTTGTTCCAGCCAGTATAGCTCGGTTGCTTCATCACGATAGGCAAGCCCGACCACCACGTCAAGGTAGCTAAGATCTGGGAATTAGACTTTATCCCATCTGACTGGTCGCAAGCACTTATCGTCCCAATATATAAGAAAGGGTCAAAATCATCCTGTGACAACCACAGAGGGATTAGTTTAACAAACATAGTTTCTAAAATACTAGCCTCGATAATTATCAAACGCCTAACTAAGACTCGTGAACTACAAACTCGAGAGAACCAAGCTGGCTTTAGACCTGGTCGTGGCTGCATCGACCACATATTCACCATTCGTCAGGTTCTAGAACACAGGCATACCTATCGGCGTCCGACGATGGTGGTCTTTCTTGACTTAAAAGCAGCATTTGACTCGGTAGACCGCGAGACTCTGTGGCAGTGTCTGTCATTGAAAGGCGTACCTCAGAAGTACATAAACCTTGTGAAAGCTCTTTACTCGAACACTACTAGTCGAGTCAGGGCTTATGGCGAACTGTCATCTACTTTTGCAACCTCAAGTGGTGTCCGTCAAGGCTGTCCACTTTCTCCATTTTTGTTTAACTTCATCATAGACCTATTGATGGAAATAACACTCTCGTCGACTGAATTCTCGGGTATTGATCTCCTTCCAGGAGGTCCACTTATCGACTTAGAATACGCAGATGACATAGTCCTGTTTGGTGAAGACGCTGAGAAAATGCAGAGTCTTCTGGTAGCACTAAGCAACAATGCCAGAATGTTTGGGATGCGCTTCTCTCCCTCTAAATGCAAGTTGTTGCTTCAGGACTGGTCTGCGTCAACACCTGAACTAAGGATAGGGAGTGAAGTAGTCGAACGCGTTGATAACTTCACTTATCTTGGAAGTCTGATCAGCCCTAATGGGTTGGTATCGGACGAAATCTCAGCACGGATTCGAAAAGCTCGTTTGGCTTTTGCCAACTTGCGTCACCTTTGGCGAAGGCGAGATATCCGTCTATCAATAAAAGGACGAGTATACTGCGCGGCAGTTCGTTCTGTTTTAATTTACGGCAGCGAAACATGGCCCTTAAGAGTAGAAGACACCCGTAAGCTACTAGTATTTGACCACAGATGCCTTAGAAATATTGCTGGCATCTGCTGGGATCACCGGGTAAGTAATAGTGAGGTTAGACGCAGGGTATTAGGGAATGATGGTAAATCAGTTGATGAGGTTATGAATCTTCATCGACTGAGATGGTTGGGCCACGTATTACGTATGCCTGAACACCGATTACCACGACGTGCAATGCTAACCGGGGTAGGGGATGGTTGGAAGAAAGTTAGGGGCGGCCAAACCAAAACGTGGCATCAGTGCCTGAAGTCACTAACTTCTAGTCTGAGCCACGTTGGTAGATGCAGACTACTTGGTTGGGGTCCGCGTGACTTTCGTAACCAATGGTTGGAGACTCTTGGTGACATGGCTCAGAATCGATCACAGTGGCGTCGGTGTATACACTCCCTGTCTTCCCTTAAACTAAGAGACTAAAATCACTTCATTCTTTCTGTCTACGAACTAATTCTTTCTTCCTATACTATATCCTTATTGCAACCTTTGACCTAACCACTCCTATGAATCCGGTGTTCATCTTGCTGTGCTAATGAGGTATGGCAACCTGGACCGATGCACATATGTGCCTGGTCCTACGTTGTAGCTGACTGACTGACTGACTTTCATCCTGTTCCTGATAGTACTACGATTTTGACTAATTTGCTATTTATCTTCTTAATAAAAATCTGATTGCACTAATCCCAAGTACAACGACTTATATCCATGCATATTCGTACCTGTTTCTGAACTATTTATGACTGACAAACTTATTGTATTTCTGCTCATATGAAAAAAAAAAAATTAAACACTGAATGAGAAATAAAACAAACAAACGAACAAACTCGAATACTCACAGGTTTACCATTTAGTAAATCTTCATTATTTAGACAAATTATTTTATTAGTTTTATAAGAATCATTCATATCACACTCATTATTAATTTCCATTGAATTCAACAATTGATGACAATGATGATGGTTATTGACAGAACTTGAAGAACTATGAGCTGATGATGATGAATATAAAAGTTCTTGTTGTTGAATAGTTTTCTCTTGATATGAAAACTTTGGTATTGGATTAAAATGATTCATCAAAGATTTTCTTTGACAATTGGTAAACTTCACTTTCTCATTTTTATTTTGTTTAGATTTTGAAAAATTACCAGGATTAATATCGTCCAGAGATACTAATTCATTGGAGTCGGGTAATAAATCTGTCCAATTAAAATCTGGAGTATCTAAATCTTTATTCAATAATTCTAACGGAAGTGTATTAGTGTCTAATTCAAATGAGAATAGATAATCAGCTTCTTTATTTAATCCTAAATCTAAGGGAAATAATTATAATGGTTACTCGATATGATGAGTAAGGAATTGTTTTGAGTGAGATTAATGACATTGTATATTAATGATTATTCAATAAATTAATGATTAAATTAAAAAAATATACCAAGGTAAAAAGGAGAGAAAACAAACACGTGTTAAAAAAAATAAATAATATAATATGGATGCGTATCAAAGACAATGAACCAAGTTTGTTTTCTCTTCCTTATCTTTATAAATTCTTCGCGTTGACAATTATGCTTTAAATTTCTATTTGATATTGATTAATTAATGAAAAGCCTCACTCGGTCTAATGTATTTAAATATGACTAGTGATCAGTGTAAGTCATATAAAAATCAGTGTATTCAGATGACATTCCTATTTATTTTGGTTGTCAAACACATCTCTATCTATGGCCTTGCTGTTCATACTTGCGTCATCCGATTCAAATTTTGCAGTAGCATCTAGCTATATATATATATATATTACAGGTACATCTTGCTGATGAGTGCCAAATAGCACGAAACCTAGATCCAGGGTTTTCTGTCGACCACCTCCAAACATCATCGTATCTCAACATAATCCACGAAATGTCAAGTCACCTAGGCTAGTAGTCGCATTGCAACTTGGTCGATAGAACTCTTTAGTAAAAGGCAAAAGATTTATCGGCCCCCAAACGCCCTGGTATGGCCGAGAGTGGGGTGGGCCCGCCTTCCCTCTCGAAATGCTCTCACATGGCCACGCGTATACAGGCTCTGTCAGGGAAGTCCTACTCACTACCTTCTCGTGACGTAGGAGTTGTTTACGAAAATGAGAGGACGAAAAGCGAATGTCCGGCGCTTTAACCGGATCTTAAACCAATGGTGCATATGGACTCCAGTATCCTGCGGAAACAAATGGCGTATGAACCAATTATTGGTCACCGGCTACCATGGGACTGCATCTCCTCACGATGCTCCACTGCCTTGTGGGTCAGACCTTCAGGTCAAAGGCTCGGGGTGTGGCCCCCTGAGAAAACCACCTGCTTCGGTCTGGGCACCTTAGCGGTATCACAGCCCACACACAGATATGATGAAATGTCGATATCTATGGAAAATACTTGTCTTGCTTCGATCAACAATCAAACGATTCACATTATTATTATTATCGTTATTATTATTAATATACTTATTATTATTATTATTATTATTATTATTATTATTATTATTATTATTATTATTATTATTATTATTTACTACGTCATTTATTCACTCTCTTTTATTCCCACTCTGTCTATCTTTACTTTTCGACTTATACAGTAGCTCGCCTATGGTGGAAACTCGGTTCTATCTAAACGTTCTCGAGCCACTGTCCGGTTGAAAATTGTATGTTACCACCGAATATGAGTACTGAAGCAGTTTTCCTGAAACCACGTGCACCATTCAAACTGGCTGCCTTCAACGTTCGCACACTTATGCAGGTCGGACAACAGATAGGGCTGGCTATGTCTTTGGAAAGTATTAATATCGACGTTTGCTGTCTATCCGAGACCCGTATTCAAAACTCTGGTGAAGTACTACAAATTCGCTCTCCATCTGTCGCTTCGAAAAGGTTGTTTTACGTGCGCTTATCCAGGGACCCTGTGGCATCTTCGTCTGGTCTGACTGGCGTTGGTGTCGCACTAAGCGCTAGAGCTGAGGCAGCATTAATCGATTGGATCCCCATTAACAGTCGGTTATGTGCTGTTAGATTAGAGAGTTCTATCAAAATGAGAAGAAATCGGCGTGAGAAACGATGTTTTTTCGTCATCTCCGCCTATGCCCCGACAGATTGCAGCCCAGTTGCAATCAAGGATGAATTTTACCACCAGTTAACTGTTCTTCTCCAGAAAGTGTGTTCGACAGATATTATAGTACTAGCCGAAAACTTGAATACTCGGGTCGAGCGTCTAGACACAGAAGAGTCGTTTAGGTGGCCGATGGGGACTCGTTAGTCGCAGGTCAGATAACGGGGACCGTCTACTGCAACTGTGCACAGACCACAATCTGTGTTTAGCTAGCACTAACTTTCGGCACAGTCATCGCCGATGCGCCACCTGGCGTCCTCCCTCAGCATCCCAAGCCTGGACTCAGATTGATCACATCGCGATCAGCTACCGCTGGCGTGGTTGTGTACAAGACTGCCGTTCCTTCTGGAGTACCTGTCTGGACTCTGACCATGCCTTGGTCTGCGCCAATCTTATCTTACTTTTCAGTGGCCAAACGAAGTGGCCGCCACCAAAGGATTGATGTCAGCAACTTGGTTGCAACTTCTGTTGCAAGTAAGTATCAAATCGAGCTAGCTTCTAGGTTAGCTACCATTCCACCGAAAAGCATGGGTCAGCAGTGATTGCAATTGCAGTTGTGGGTTCGCGAAACGTCCCGATTATAAGTACTGGGTTTCGTCAGGCTCCCTACAACTCATCGAAGCCCGTCGGTCTACTCCGGGTGACTGTGAGTTTGACCACAAACGAAGGGTGTTACGTAATCAAATCGGGCAAAGCTTGCGTAAGGACCAAGAAGCCTGGTGGACGGAGCGTGCTAGTGAGCTGGAAGCAGCAGCTGCATCTGGTAACTACCGGAAGCTCTTCCAATTCATCCGAGCCACTGGCAGCAAGAAGTCTGGTGTGAGTGAAACAATCTGTGAGGATGATGGGATGCCAATCACTTACATCCATCGACGTCTTGGACGATGGGTAGAATTCTTCGAAGGGCAGTCCAACTGGCCTGCTGCTCCAGGAACATCGGTCGGACCGTTCTGCCCTCCATGGCCGGTGACGACTGATCCACAAGACGAGGCGGAAGTCCGCAAGGAACTCCAACTCTTGAAACGCTACAAATCACCGGGCCCAGATGACTTACCTCCGGCTCTTTTTAAAGATGGTAGTGACTTTCTGGCTAAAAACTGAGGACGTTGTTTACAAAGGTCTGGGAACTAGAGAGTGTAGCAACGTCATGGAATGAGTCGATAGTTGTCCCTATCTTTAAAAAGGGTTCACGTCGTTCCTGTAACAACTATCGGGGGATAAGTCTACTTCCGATTGCGTCCAAGCTATTGGCTTCTATCATACTTTTTAGATTGTTCAAAACCCGAGAAAGGTTGACTCGCGAGGAGCAGGCTGGTTTCCGTTCTGGTCGAGGATGTTTTGATCATATCTTCACCTTCCGCCAAATGTTAGAATACCGTCATACTTATCAAAGGCCAATAATCGTAGTATTTCTTGACATCAAGGCTGCCTTCGATTCGTTGAACAGGACTGTTCTCTGGGATTGTCTATTGAAGAAGAGTGTGCCTGAGAAGTTTATTAACATCTTAAAGGCCCTATATACAAACACCTCAGGTAGAGTGAGGGCATACAACCACCTCTCTCCATTGTTTCATTCGAGCAGTGGGGTTAGGCAGAATTGCCCAATCTCACCATTCCTCTTCAACTTTGCCATTGATGACATTCTGGAAACAGCTCTGATGGATGTAATTAATGGCGGTGTGGACCTGTTACCTGGAGAAAGACTTCTCGACCTTGAGTGTGCGGATGATATTGTCTTACTGTGAGATAATGCCCAAGGCATGCAATCCGCACTTGATCAGTTGGCAATCAGTGTCCGTAGGCATGGTATGTGCTTTGCACCTTCGAAGTGCAAAGTACTTCTACAAGACCGGAAGGATCCTAATCCTGTAATCACCCTGGATGGTGAGCAGATAGGAGTAGTCGAGAAGTTCGTGTATCTAGGTAGCTGCATAAGTGCTGGTGGTGGTGTGATTGGTGAGATCAATTCACGTATAGTGAAAGCCAGAGCGGCTTATGCTAATTTGGGCCATCTTTGGTGCCTTCGTGATGTTAGTCTGGCTGTAAAAGGTCGGATTTACAACGCGTCGGTGAGAGCAGTTTTGCTCTATGCTTGTGAAACCTGGCCTCTCCGAGTTGAGGATGTTAGACGACTCTGTGTTTGATCATCATTGTCTCCGAAGGATTGCTGACATCCAGTGGCAACACCATGTTAGTAATGCAGAGGTTCGGCATCGTGTGTTCGGGCACAGAGATGATAATTCAATTGGTGTCACCATCGTGAAACACCGACTCCGGAGGCTTGGACATGTTCTACGAATGTCGTCCCAGAGAATTCCACGTCGTGCATTATTTGCCGACTCTGGGACTGGTTGAAAGAAGCGGAGAGGTGGTCAGTGTATGAAAGAAAGCTGCAAAGGGCTGGCTTGTGTTGGTCCTTCACGACTCCCTGGCTGGGGTCCTAGAGATGGTGCGACACAGTGGCTAGAGACGTTACCAGATATGGTGCAGAATAGAAGCCAGTGGCGATCCTGCTGTACCCTTCTTCTACTTTCTTCATTAAAAAAGTAGTTGTATCTTCCTTAACTGAAAGATTCCTTTTGGTTGTACCTTTCCGTTTCCTCATTATTATTGTTATTATTACACTACCTTACACTAATCTGTTCGTTATTGTTTTTTTCCTCTTCGAATTCTCATTGTTTTGTGTGGCGCATATATATTTGGTGCCCTCTTGTTCCAATATTTATGTGTTCAAATAAATAAATAAATAATAAATACGATAGAACTCGATCTGAACTACGAAGGACCTTACACACATGACATTGATCACTATCAAGTGATCAAACAATTGTAAAGACATGAAATACTGAATGACATTGGAAGAAGGCTACGACAGTTTTCATAGCCGCTAAGATTTGGAAACCCAATTTTAATAATCTTTTCAAGTCGTTGGATTATAAGTAGCTAGAGGCCAAATGGGCTATCCGTCAATCTTTTGTCATTTTAATCGTCCAGATTAAAAACGGATTACTGTTGTCGTTTTCCATCATAGTTTTACTAACGGATATTTTAACCCTAGTCTATTTGATGGATTCAAACAATGCCGGATTTTTCGTCCCCTTTGATTTTGTTACTAAGATCGCTGTATATATACCACTACACTTAAGTTACTTTCGATGTCCATCATATTCGAAGCTCAGTAGAGTGAGTTTTTGAGTATTTATATTAATTAAGTACAATTTTCTTGCCTTTCGGTCTAGGTCGATTACAGAAACCATTGATGTTTCTTGCTTATATATTATGTCATGGTATCTTACTGTGAAAATTACTTTCATGTTCACTAGGTACTTTGTTAGTTTTGCTTTAAATTTACTCCCTTGGATTTCAAGTTCAAACTCAGTTGAATAAGCCTGTATACTGCGACTTTTATGAATCCAGTAAGGTCTAGACATGTATTTTTATCGTTGCAAGTCCAGAATCCAAAGGTAAACTCCAGAAAATTAATCCATTACTGATGTTCTCCAAAAATAACTGATAAAAACAAGATTCATCTGAGTTCATTGTTGAGTCAAAGTTAAGGACTATTAAGTCAGTATTTTAACTATGCTTGGAGTTAGTACCTGCCGTAAATAAAAGGTTATCACCGTACATTTGAATCACATGGTAACATTTATCTGTTGAACAGTTTTGAACGTAAAACAATATTTAATTTATGTATTGTTCTGTCTGGATTAACCTATCCACCAACGCGTTAATACCAAACAACAAAGAAATCCCAATACAAACAGTTTGAACATAGTTCAATACGTACCGAGATTTGAATTAGTAGTAGCTGTCTCAGTTACTGAATCACCATTCAATAGACGATTGCCAGATGAATGGTGTGTTTCAACGATCTCTTGGTGATCTAACTGCAATATTGTTGGTGATACAGCATAATAATCAATCTCATCCCCATATGAAAAATCTGGCAAGTTAAATTTTTTTATTGACATTGTTTCAGGAATTTTGAGCATGTTACGTCAATCAGCACTAAAGAATGTAATAAGATCATCCGTTTTGCTCAACCACATACCATTAATTTTGGGATAGGAGAGTTAATCAAGTGCCTATAGGACATTTTGTTGTTATGGACAGTAACTTTGTTTGTTTGAGTCAATGTTTTCCTTTTCCATTTGAACAAGAACAGAGGTCAAGTTTACTCTTTAGAAGGTAACAGATTGAAAGTCAGAAGAAAATGACAAGCTGAAATAATAATAATAAAGACAGATGGTGAATTCTCCCAGAGAACTGAGTTACCTAAAATATACATTTACCGTCTACAAAGTAGTGAAAATAATCTACATACATATATCTTATCGATTTTAATGGAGGTGACTGTAATAAGAAGGATCTATTGTATTCAAAGAACAATCATACTATTCATGTAAATGAAAATGTCGTGAAGTAAATAAATAGCTTGAGAGATGGGAGTTTTATCTATCTAAATGGATTAGCAGAATGAAAAATGAGGCTTTAAAAGTTATAATTCAGTGAGTTAACAATCGAAGGAGTAAACTATGTTCGTAACTAGTTTGTAGATGAATACAAACGATCTGTTAGTAAATGCATGGCCAGGTGGAAATTCCCACAGAGAATGTTACAGAAATCTTAGGAATAACATGCTCAGACTTATTCGGTGGAACATATGATTTGTTTACACAGAAAAAAGTATATTGGGATATCTTACTGTTTGAGGGTAGTGCATCACTACGAACGTATAAAATTCATTCTGTTCACATATAGGTTAAATCAACCTGTTAGTTAACTATTTAGATCACTCTAACACTGCATTTAGTACTAACATAACGTTTTATTTAGTACTAAGGTAAAGCCCATCAGTAAATACTTCAATTAGCTAGTAACATTAACTTATCAAACGATCTCTACGATAGTGACAGAGCATTCAGTCAGTCAGTAACAACGTAGAACTTCGTACATACGTACATCAGTTCGAGTTGCCACACCACCTTAGCACACAGATGCAGTGGTCGGTTCAAATCCCGTAGTGCTAGATGTAGTAAAATTATGAGCTGTAATCAGAAAAAAACTAGGGTTTGGAGATGTTATTCAAGGAGTATAATCCAGTGAAATAAATTTGGAAAGAGAAAAAAGAAAGGGACATGAAGAATTCAGAAGATTAGAATTTGGGAGAACACAAAGAGTGGATGCACCTGCGCACACCATTGCAAACGATTTTGAGCCATGTCATTCAGGGTCTCCAACCATCGGTTGCTATCATCTCGCGGTCCCCAACCAGGTAGTCTACACCTGCCAACATGACTCAGTCTACTTGTCAGTGACTTCATGGACTTGTGCCATGTTTTGGTTTGGCCGCCTCTAGCTTTCTTCCAACCTACTCCTATACCACTGAACATAGCACGTCGAGGTAGTCGGTCGTTGGGCATACGTAACACGTGTCCCAGCCATCTCAACTGATGAAGTTTCACTACTTCATCAATTGATTTGCCATCCTTACCTAGTACCCGTTTCCTAACAACTGTGTTACTTACTCGATGGTCCCATGATATACGAGCAATGTTTCGAAGACACCTATGATCGAATACTAGTAACCTACGAATATCCTCTACTCTTACCGGCCATGTTTCACTGCCGTAAAGTAGGACGGAACGAACTGCTGCGCAGTAAACACGTCCTTTGGTTGATAGACGGATATCTCGCCTGCGCCTTAAATGACGCAAGTTGGTAAAAGCTAGTCGAGCCTTGTGTATCCGTGCTGAGATTTCGTCACACACCAGACCACAAGGGCTGATGAGACTTCCAAGATAAGTGAAGCGGTCGACACACTCAACTACTTCACTCCCTATCTCTAGTTTGGGTGTCGATGTAACCCAATCCTGAAGCAACATTTTGCATTTCGAGGGAGAGAATCACATCCCGAACATGCTTGTATTGTTGCTTAGAATGGTCAGAAGACTCTGCATTTTGTCAGCGTCTTCGCCAAATAAAACCATGTCATCCGCATATTCTAAGTCAACAAGTGAACCTCCCGGTAGAAGTTCAACCCCTGGAAATCTAGACGAGGAAAGTGTCATCTCTAAAAGTACGTCGACCACAAAGTTGAACAAGAATGGAGAGTGGGCAGCCCTGATGAACACCACTTGAGGTAGTCAGTTCTGATGACAGTTCGCCATAAGCTCTCACTCGACCAGTTGTGTTCGAGTAGAGAGCCTTTATAAGGTTAATGTACTTCTTTGGTACTCCTTTCAATGAGAAACACTGCCATAGAACCTCACGATCAACATAGTCGAATGCTGCTTTGAGGTCGCGAAATACTACGATTGTGGGGCGTCTGAATGTGTGTCTGAGTTCTAGAACCTGACGTAGTGTGAATATCTGATCTATACAACCACGTCCAGGTCGAAAACCAGCCTGATTTTCTCTAGTCTGCTCTTCACGAGCTTTAGTTGGGCGTCGAAGTATTATTGAAGCTAATATTTTAGACACTATATTAGTCAAACTGATTCCTCTGTGATTGTCACAAGAGGACGTTTGTCATTTCTTATAGATTGGCACCATCAGTGATTGAGACCAGTCAGATGGGATTACGTCCAGTTCCCAAATTCTACCTACAACCTCAGTTAATCTCACTGCTTAGAGTGGTATTAGGAGGTGTAGGAAGGATTTGAATGTGACCAACTTGGTCTCGTGTGTTGTTACGGGTATGAGGGCTGATGTCACTTCCCGGCTGCCCACACCGTGGAAGGGTATTTCTTGAGGAACCTCAAGAAGAAGTCGGACTAATGTTGGTCTTAACGACCTGGGAGCGTGACTGCAGAGCACAAGGGACAACTGCTTGAGGCCGGTCGCGCACGGCCTTTCCGTGAAAGGTTTTTAATGTGTTAGCACCGTTCTTTAAAGGGCCTTACCGCCGGAGACGGAAATCCGTGAGGTAAGGTGAGGTGTGACATTTTTAGGGTCGGACCTTTCTAACCCCACCCCTCCTTGTGGGAAGGCAGCATCGCTGCAGATGCTGGTTGTCCGAGGGAAACACTCTACTGCTGTCACACCCCTCTACAGTCAGCAGTACGACTTCTCTCTCAGACCTTGAGTTGCTGCTTTTAGTCTTACCGTTCTCCGATCGACCTGCCTGGCATGGTAGAACCTATAGGAACATATGTTCCAGCCAATATAGCTCGGTCGGGTCATCACGATAGGCAAGCCCGACCACCGCGTCAAGGTAGCAGCTTGGTAATACATGTATTTAACCATGTACCACTCTTCTAACGTAATCGATTGCGGTCGTCGTGTGGTTTGTTATGGAATTTGAAACAAATATATGAGATATTTGGCGTCAGAACATGAGGTGGACAAACAAATGTGTAGTAAAATGTTACGCGAGTAATTGAGCGAAAAATTTCAAACAGCGACGAAACGAAATTTCGCATCAAGGACAGGAGAAGACATCCTACGGAACTTTGCCAGCTGAGCAATTATCACTAAACAGAAAATTACTATGACAATGAAAACTAAACCGCAAAGTACGACCGAATAAATTAACAATTAGTGGAGACAATCCTCTTTCATCTACTGTGGTCTTCAGGGGTTCAATCTTCCTATTTTTGAGAAACTTTTGGGAAGCCTCCATAGAAAAATTTAGAGCATAAAATGGCACAAAAACCTCAAATTTTCTCCAGATCAGAGAGAATTCGCCAAACGTTTGTGGACTTCCTCAAGATAGGACTGCTAAAAGCAAAATATAGAGTGTCGCTTGACAGTCAAAAAAATAGATAAAAAGTCATGAAGCATCCTTTGAGGATGTTAGCTAATGAGTCAACCTTATCAGAAAGTCAAATTACTCAACAAAATCACCAGTGACAGAGCATTATTACGTATGAAATTATTGGCCACCGATAACTTCGTTACAGCTAAATACGTAACCACTGCAAAATCTCACAGACATAATCGTTTCAATTTAGGGGACATTCTAGGAGTTTGTAGTTGTTTATGCTATTATTAAGAAAACAAGTGCCCATGGTTGCGAGGTAGTGACTTTTAGTGATCAGCTTTGACTTTGCAAAGATGGTTTGAGTGTGGTATCACAAATTACATGAAGAGTAATACGTGATTGTGCCAATTTATGGCCACAAAAAATACTTTCTTTATGAGCGAATCTAGAGAATATACGAGCTGTTCGTTATTTATAGAGCTATTTATTTTGGGGATTTATTTACCGCTACAAGTTACCTGTTGTCCAGACACACAATAACTTGGGAGTTATCGTTAGTCAAAACTACTGCACTTCGCAATGTGATATACGTCAAAGGTTTTAGAAATCTATGGTCAATACGTAAGGCGTTTAATCATGCCGACTTTTTAACTTTGTATACAGTGTTCGTGTGACCCAAGACGTGAGTACTGCATACAAGCGACTATCCCCTACTTAGAAAAGACACTGAGCTTTTTTAAAAAGTTTAGAGGACAACAACTGAGCTGGTTTCTGGAATAGCGAAGCTAATGTATGATGCTCGATTGGCTGAAACAAACCTATTCCCATTGTCATATAGAAGAATTAAATGATATGATTACAGCTTTCAAATTACTTAATGATAAATTTACACATGATGTATCCTCATTTTTCTTGTCTTCCAAAAAAGTTCACAAGCCCAGAACAAATTACTTTCCAGCTGACTATCGACTTTCTCATCAAATCATCAAGTGGAATTTATGGCGAGACTAATTTAGGGACGACCTTTGAACGAATCCTCAGTGACCTTGACAATAATTAGCCAATCAGAAGAAAGTTAGTATAAAGTGAAAATATATTATATGAAAGTAATGAATTATAGTGGATATTCTCCTTTTACATGATTTAAAAACTTGTTAAGGTTTGATTAAGGTTCAGAGGTTCTGAATTCACAATGCATATGGAATAGAAACTCGTCCATTGGGTTAGGGTTTAGGGTAAGGATTAGGGTGCTAACATACGGTTAGGGTTAAGGTTAGGGTTTAGGGTTAGGTGAGGGTTAAGGTTAGGATGCTAACATACGAGTTTTTAAATCATGTAAAAGAAGAATATCCACTTTAAATTATTACTTTCTTTTAATATATTTTTACTTTTTGCTGTCTTTTGATTGCCTAATAATTGAAATTGCTCAAACGCTTCTGATTGCCAGATCGTCCCTAAATTAGAGTCTCGCCGTCCCATCTGTTGTAACCTCTCATTAATCACCTACTCTCTAAAATCCGCTGTGAACCGATCGTATTTTAGCTACAGGCCAACAAGCCTCCTGTCCTTTCCAAAATGAAACCATAGTTCCAGTTTGTAAACAAATTTTACACGATCTTTAAAAAAAAATACTTATTATGGCCCATTTTCATTAACTACATTCTTACCTGCGTTTTTTTGTTCTGACATTTTCAAAAAGTAATTTAAGTCAAAGAATTTAGCATTTCGATATAAGGGGATTTCTATTTTTCCTGACATGTATAAATTTTAACACTGGTATTATACGCGGGACACGAATAAACTTTAAATTATACAAAGTCAGCATATGTTTAGGGGATTTATATTTTTTTAAAAGACTTCCATACTTTTATTCGTCCACGTAATAGTTATCAGCTGTGAGCGCTTTGAGGTCATTTCAAGGGCATAGATGTGGTGGCATCATTTTCCACAAATCTGAATGTATTGTTAAAGTTTTAGTTCTTGGAAATTTAATTTGTTTGTACGTACTTTGAAAACTTGAGAATATTTTTTTTCTTTCTTGCAATTGTTGACCTATTTTGGTGCTTGGTTTGAATCATGCCCGCTTTAAGCAAATTCATATTCTGATCACACCATATCATAGACTTCTGTTGTCGTAAATTCAATTACTATTAATATCTCACTATCAGTTTTGAGAAATTTTCGCAGAGGAAGGATCAAAGTTCCTGTGTACTGTACTTAGGGTCGGAAATTCTGTCAGTAAAATTGATAATAAAGTAGTTCTCGGTCCCATTAAGACTCAAACTAAAATGGTTCAAATGGTTCTGCACGGAATACAAGAAGCCTCAGCTTATAGCCCTGACGTAAATGTTGACAGTGGATCTCCAATGCCGCCAGGTAAGAACCGAAATATATTTAACGACAAAAGGGAAAAAATAGTTAGATATAGCTAGAAACTGTCCTTAGTCCTTAAGTATATGTCAAGGTTTTTCTTGAAGGACTCCTGGGAAGTCACTTGGACGATCTAAAATCGCAGTTGATGATGTCACAGGTATTCAGTGTTTGACAACGCTTCTACCAGTAACACCTTCTAATGTATTTTGTTCCCACCCAGAGGAATCAAAAGACAGAGTCGAGGAGATCGGAAGAGTATATTTGGCGATGACCAATATATCGGAATTCTCTGATCTAATCTGGCTAGCGATTGCGGTTGATGTTGAGCAGGGCGTTACCACACGTGATCTGGTGCGGATGCCTGGCCGAGCGCCTTCAGCTAGATGAGTCCACTAAAACATATGGTCAGCATCCAATGTCGAAAACTTACAGAGCTATTTATTTTGGGGATTTATTTACCGCTACAGATCACCCCCCCTAGTGGGGCAGTGACGACCCTAAGACGTGGCCAGCCAGAAGTTTACACCCAACGAGTTTGTCGTTGGTAAACACTCTTCTGATAGCTTACTAAATTTAGCAGCGTCTGGTCGTCTGTCCTTACTATATGGGACCGAGGTACAACATAGTAAAAAAAGAAAGAGTTACAACGAAATTTTCGGATCCTCATAAACGTCATCGTTCTTTTCCAGTCGTCCTGCAAAAGAAAAAAGAAAGTGTAAGTGCATGTCGAAATACACTTGTATGTGCGTAAAAACACAATGTCGGCGTAAAAAAAATGGAAAATAAACTCATGAACACGTAATAGCGTAAAAAAATTGTTTTTTTGTTTTGTTTTTTTTAAATAAAAATATAAATATATAGGCATAATAAAATTGTCTTTTTTTTTAAAATTTTATATATCGTTAAAAAGAAAGATCGAGATAATATAAAATGTCGAGTAGTGCCTTACGTGAAGAAGTCGTTTAAATGTTCTGGAAATCTTACTCTTCTTCCAGAACGCGTCGTTTTACGTTTATTTTCAGATACATTCGGAGTATCATCGCTAGTGTTGGTTGTCCGTTGAGGAACTATGAGTATAGGAGTCGCGTTGTGCGATTGTACCGAAGGAAAGTCGACGTGAATGGGATTTCCTTCTAAATACGCTGCTTTTAAACGATCGATGCTGATGCTATCGTTGGTTCCGTTCTTGTTGACTACATAGTACTTTGATTCATGTTGAAGAACTTTGAAGGGTCCTTCGTATGCTGATTCGAATGGTCGTCGATGCGAGTCTCGACGAACGAAAACGTGTGTACTATATCGTAAGTCAGGTTGAACGAAAACATCGGTTGATTGTGGTCGAGTGGGAGCGGGTTTAACTGAACGCATTGGGTTTGTAAGCCTGTTCGTGTAGGAGGTTAGATCCATGTTCATTGAAGAGGATGAAGGATCCACGAATTCTCCTGGAAGTCGAAGTGTCGTTCCATAAACGAGTTGAGCCGCAGCGTATCCGATGTCAGCTTTCACTGCATTGCGGATACCTAGTAAGACGAGTGGAAGAGCGTCGGTCCACTGTGAAACGTTTGCAGCTGATAGCGAAGCTTTCAGTTGTCGGTGAAAACATTCTACCAACCCGTTTGCTTGTGGATGGTAGGCGGTCGTTCGTAAGCGAGTGATTCCTTAAAGTGTGGTCAGACGACGGAAAAGTTCAGATTCAAACTGACGTCCGCGGTCTGTGGTGATGGTTGAAGGGCAACCAAAGTTTGCTACCCATCGTTCGACGAAGGTGCGGGCCACTGTTTCAGCAGTGATGTCCTTGATAGGTACTGCTTCTGGCCATCGAGTGAAACGGTCTACGCAGGTTAAAAGATAAGAGTATCCATTTGAATCTGGTAAAGGTCCTACCAAATCCAGATGAACATGGTCGAAACGAGCATCGGGAGTTTTAAATGAGCCTAAGGGACATTTATTGTCTGATAACCTTAGATTTTTGGCAGCTTACACAAGAGCGTGCCCACTCCTTCACGTCTTTATTCATTCCAGGCCAGCAAAACCTTTCTGCTATAAGCTTGATGGTTGCACGAACACCTGGATGCGAAAGTTTGTGCAATGTGTTGAAGACATTGCGTCGATAATGTTTCGGCACGATTGGGCGATCCCTACCTGTAGATATGTCACAAAGTTAGGTTTTCTTACCTGTTCCCATCTGTTTGATGCGTAGTTTAAGTGTTCTGGACGATAACTCGTGCTGAAGATCACTGTCTTCTTTTTGAAGCTCGGCGAGTTTAAGAAGGTCGATTCCTTGGAAACTGTTCAAGGAAGTTATGCAAGATAAGGCGTCTGCAACTACATTGTTTGCTCCAGAGATGTGTTGAATGTCTGAAGTAAACTGCGAAATGTAGTCAAGTTGTCGAGACTCACGGGGAGAGTACTTGTCAGAAGGAGAGCTTAACGAGAAAGTGAGCGGTTAATGGTCCGTGAAAAGAGTGAATTCACAACCTTCGATGTAGTGTTGGAAATGCCGTACAGCACAATACATAGCTAGGAGTTCCCTACCGAATGTGCTGTACTTCGATTCGGTGTCTAGCAACCTTGTAGAGAAAAATGCCAAGGGTTGCCAGGAGTTGTTAACCCATTGTTGGAAGACTCCTCCGATTGCTGAGTCGGATGTGTCTACTGCGATGCTAATGGGTGCTCGGGTCTCCTGATGTGCGAGCATTGTTGCTTTAGCAATCAGTTCCTTAACTGTGGAGAATGATTTTCGTGCGGTGTCGTCCAAATTAATGGATTTCGCATTTCCACGAAGTTGGTCGATCAGAGGTTTCATAAGTAATGCGCATTTGGGTATGAAACGTCTATAGAAACTTACGAGGCCGTTGAACGTGCGTAATTGCTTGACGGTGGTCGGTTCTGGGTAATCCAGAATGGCCGCCACTTTGGTCCTAAGAGGTCGAATGCCTTGAGCATCGATAGTGTGTCCCAGAAAGTCTAACGAGTCGGTTCCGAATTGGCATTTCTGAACGTTTACACTAATACCATGTTTTTGAAGTCGTTCGAAAACAAGATCCAGATGCTTGAGATGTGTTTCCCTGTCCGGACTTGCAATTAGACAGTCATCAACATACGCGTGTACGAAGTTGAGACCTCGAAAAACGTCGTCTATGAATCTTTGGGATGTTTGAGCAGCATTCCTTAGACCGAAAGGCATTCGCAAAAATTCATAGAGTTCGAAGGGAGTTATGATATCTGTCTTCGGTATGTCGTCAGTAGCCATAGGGATTTGGTTATACGCTTTAACCAAGTCGATTTTCGAAAAGACAGTTGTACCTTCCAAGGTAGCTGCCAAATCGTGGATGTGAGGCAACGGGTAACGATCGGGAATGGTTTTCGCTTTCAATCGCCGATAGTCACCAGTTGGACGCCAATCGTTGCTGTCCTTTTTAGGGACCATGTGCAACGGAGATGCATATGGGCTACTTGACGGTCGTATGATTCCTAAGTCCATCATGTGATCGAATTCGTTTTTCGCTAACCTTAGCTTTTCAGGAGCTAGTCGTCGTGCTTTAGAGAATACAGGTGGTCCTGTAGTCGTGATGTGATGTGTAACATTGCTGGTTACACACGGTAGTTTCGGTTGAGTTTGTTGTATCCCAGGGTACTTATCGAGAAGTGGCTGATAGAGTGGGTCTATCATATGTTTAACTGTGACTGGGGATACTCTACAACCAGTAAAGGAAGTTACGCAAACGGACAAATTAGTGTTTCCGTCTACTAGCCTCCGTTTGCGAGTGTCGATGATCAGATTGTGGTGTTGTAGAAGATCCATACCAATGATTGGCATAGAAACATCTGCAACAACGAAAATCCAGTGAATGGGTTTGCGTAAACCCACGTTAAGGTAAACGTACCAGTGGTTTTGTCAAAGATATGTCGTGCTGAAAGATCGTTGTACTACTTTTGAAGATAAGTGACTTCAAAAAAGTCGACTGACACAAGAACAGCCCTTGATAAATGACGATTAATTTGTCTATATTACGTGTTTTTGGAACTCCTAGAAATGATCATTCTTGTGGTATTACAGAAGTTTCAAAACTGTGACTGAAAATCTTCAGTAGGAATACAATTTTGTCACAGAGTGGTCATCAACTAGAACGTTCTGTCCAATGAATCTGCCTTGTAATATTTAACGGAAACTTTAAAAACAAAAATATTCAACGAAATACTTAGTGAAAGGTTTAACGCAGGACAAATGATTGACCGAAATATACCTATAGACGCAACCTACATGGACTTCAGCCAGGCTTTTGACGAAGTCCATCACAATCGACCGTTATATAAGCTGAGAAATATCGGGGTTGTAGGCAAGTTAATAATGTGTATAAAAGGCTTCCCAGTTGGGCGTCAACAAACAGTACGGGCGAGCTCAAAGTTGTCTAGCTGGGAAACTGTGCTTAAAAGAGTACCTCAGAGTACAGTTTTGGGGCCAGTGTTATTCCTTTTGTACGTAAATGACATTCTTTGTCTCTGTCACCGTCGGTCTTCCTATATGTTGATGATGTCAAAATATGGAGAGCGTTACGAAGGGTGATAGCCTAGAACTTGAAAATGGCCTAGAGAAATTGTCCGAATGGTCTCAATCTAGGCAGTTGCCGATAACTACTTCCAAGTGTATTGTGATGTATATTGGCCATCAAGGTACAAATACATACATGATGAATAACATTGAGCTTGAAGATGCTACAGATATTTGGAGTTAGACAACGCTCTGGCGAATTTATTAACTGAACATGTGATTTAAGCTCCATCTGTCGACACTTTCAAAGGGAAGATGGATCAACTGAGAGGCCGTAATTGCCAGGACTAACACAGGCCATCAAGTCTCCTGTCCTTTACAAACTGAAACTGATGGGAAACAGAATAGCCTACGCGGGCTATTAAAGTTTGGACGTCTCCTCAAGGCTAGTCTTTTAAAGTAAATAGTACCGTAAATGTCATGATACCTGTTGCCGCAAAGTCAAGTGTTGTATCTCAGGATTCCAGTCATTTAGTGAGCTGTTGCTTTATGTGGTCATTGGTCGTTTCCTTAACTGTGACCGAATAAATTTAGTCCCAACCGACCAACTAAAGGGAAATAAATATGGACAAAGAGAAATAAAGAGGAAGAAAGCGTAAATAGAGAGGAGATGTAAATTTCCCCTCCTTTGTCCTGCAGCAACACATGTTACTGCATATCGACATGAAATCCATAAGTTATAGTCTCGCCAGATAGTTAACTATCTCAATTGAGATCATTCTGTCTGAAACATACTTAAAGTGACATCTTGTCATATATCCTGAAAACTCACTAACTAGACTGCGGGAAGTTCTGCTTGGTAGAAACAAATTTGTGGACTAATCGGTGAAATTAAGGATAACAAGTGTTGGATTTTGGTGCAAAATTCGTTCATCCATACTGTAGCGCATCAACTTTTCTGCTTCTAGTTTGATTCCAGGAATGTCTTGATTCGTACCCAGTGTTATTGCTGATTATTGAATATTGCTTTCCACGATAAGTGTATATAAATTCTGTACGCTTGTTGGGTAGTCGACCCAACTTTTGTTCTCTTTTTCTATGCCACTCACGCTGCTCTGCACGTTTGTTGTGTGCAAAAAGTACCTTTGAGCTAGAAAGCCGCTAAAATACGGTTAAGTAGTGTCTTGGCATTTCTTGATGAGAACGTCTGCTTATATTTCTAACTCGAAATTGTAATCATAGTTCCACCTTTAAACTTCTATACATATTGTACTTTAACTTGTAGACAACAGTTTTAATAATTTGCATAATTTTTCTTGGTCTGAATGGTTCGAATCTCATAACACTCCAGAACACTTGGAGTAAAACTATGCTGTAAGGAAACCTACATCAATCTACGGTTTAGTTAAACAGATACTATGAACACAAGAAACCGCTATGGCTCCTACTGTATTAACAAACAAAGAGAAGTGCGTCTTCACATCTTAATCCAAATTATTTTAAACGAAACTCTGTAGGTTGCTTCCTCAAGAAAGTGTATGTCACCAAATTAGAAGTCCTTGTGAAGCAAAGATATCATGTATCTTAAGTACTCTTGTTAATGAGCTAGTAAAGATATTTGTGAAGTCTGTTTATATGATTATTTGCCGTTGATGACGTTACAAATGGAGTACCTTTTTATGAAGCCAAAGCCATACCACTGTTTTCTGACAAAAATTGTTTCTCACTCCGTTTAAGCGTCTTTAGTAGACTGAGTTTAGTACATTTTCGCTCGTTCAATTTCTCTCCACATCTAAGAAACCTTTCTAGAAGAATTCTCTACAACCTTTTCTGTCACGGATAGTTCCTTATTTTATTTATTTATATTTATTTGAACATAAATATTGGTACAAAGGGTCGCCGAATACATATGCGCCACACAACTCACTTGATTTGTGTGTAGGCTGTGATACTGTCCGGGTGCCCAGACTAAAGCAGGTGGTTTTCTTAGGAGGCCATACCCGGAGCCTCAGACCTAAAAGTCCGATCCAGAAGGCAGTGGAGCAACGTCAGGAGATGCAGTCCTATGGTAGTCGGTGACCAAGAATAGGTTCATCCGCCATTTGTTCCCCCCAGGATCTTGGAGTCCATGTGCACCATTGATTTAAAATTAGGGTCTTCCAACTCCCCTTAGTGAACCTTCCGTGTACATCAACCCGATTCCAGCGCCGAACTTTCTCTTTTTGTCCTCTCTATTTTATAAACAACACCCCCACCGCGAGAAGGCAGTGAGTAGGACTTCCCTGGTAGTGGTTGTATGCACGTGGCCATGTGGGAGCTTTTCGAGAGTTGACCCAGATGTTGCTTATGAAGATAAACAAACAGCTGTGAGCAGTGACATCTATTAGTGATTTAAACCAAAGGGTCACATAATACTGATGGATTTCTTCTAAGTCTATTGCACTGATGAGTTCATGTAATCTCATACCATCAGGCTTTGAATACGATAAAGAGCGACAACAAATCAGATCTAGGTTAACCAAAAGTTTAAGGAACAACCGTGAGCAGTAGTGAGCAATGGAAACAAAAGAGATGGAAAAGGCGGCGACTGTAAGTAACACAATACAGCTCTTCAGACTAACAAAAGAAACTGAGAATAAGAAGTCAGATGTAAGGGACAATCTCGGAAAAAGACGACACTTATCTGTTCTCAGCCCAGATGTTTAGAACGATGAGCGGAACACTTTAGACAACAGTTTAGCTTGCCTTAAGCTACTCTACAACTACCACGATTCCCAAACAGCCTAAATGGAACAATGAAGTAGGTCCCCTAATCTAGTTGAAGTTCAAAAGACTATAGCTAATCTGAAACAAGAAAGAGCAGCTGGTCCAGGTGGATTGGCTCCAGAGGTCATTAAGTATGGTGGTCCAATTTTAGCGATTGGGTTGAATAATAGTTTAGCTAAAATCTAGGAGTTGAACGTTATCCCATCTGACTGGTCACAATCACCGATTGTTCCAGTGTATAATAAGGGGTCAAAGTTGTCATGTAATAATCATCGGGGGGATTAGTTTGACTAACATAGTATCTAAAGTCCTAACCTCAATAATTATTGGGCGCCTAAGACCCATGAACTGCAAACACGAGAAAATCAGACTGGCTTTATGCCTGGTCGTGGCTGTATCGACCACATATTCACCATTTGTCAGGTTTTAGAACACAGTTATGCTTATCGGCGTCCAACAATGATGGTTTTTTTACTTCAAAGCAGTATTTGACTGCGTAGATCGAGAGGTTCTATGACAGTGTCTGTCATTGCAAGCTTAACCTCAGAGGTACATAAACCTTTTGAAGTCTCTTTACTTGAACATCACCGGTCGAGTCGGAGCTTATGACGAACTGTCATCTGGTTTTGCAACCTCAAGCGGTGTCCGGCAGGGTTGTCAGTTATGTCCATTTTCGTTTAACTTCATCATAGACATATTGCTAGAAATAACGTTTTCGTCGACTGAATTTTCGGGCATTGATCTCCTTCGAGGAGGTCCACTTATAAACTTAGAATACGCAGATGACATAGTCTTGTTTGATAAAGACGCTGATAAAATGCAGTCTTTTGGTCGCACTAAGCAACAATGCCAGGATGTTTGGGATGCGTTTCTCCCTCTCTAAATGCAAGTTGTTGTTTCAGGACTGATCTGCGTCAACACCTGAACTAAGGATAGGGAGTGAAGTAGTCTGATCAGCCCTAATCGGTTGGTGTCTGACGAAATCTCAACATGGATTCAGAACGCTCGTTTGACTTTTGCCGACTTGAGTCACCTATGGCGAAGGCGAGATATCCGTTTATTAATTGAGGGACGAACATACTGTGTAGTAGTTCGTTCTGTTCTACTTTATGGTTGCGAAACGTGGCCTCTAAGAGTAGAAGATACTTGTAAGTTGCTAGCAGTTGATCAACGATGTCTTAGAAGTATCGCTCTTATCTTCTGGGATCGCCGGGTAAGTAATAGTGAGGTTAGACGTAGGGTATTGGGGAATGATGGTAAATCAGTTGATGAGGTTGTGAATCTTCATCGACTGAGATGGTTGGGTCACGTGTCACGTATGCCTGAACATCGATTACCACTACATGCAATGCTGATTAGTGTTGGCGATGATTGGTAGAGAGTTAGGGGGTGGCCAAACCAAAACCTGGTATCAGTGCTTGAAGTCACTAGCTCCTAGTCTGATCTATGTTGGTAGATGTAGACCACTTAGTTGGGGTCCGCGTAACCATCGTAACCAATGGTCGGAGTGACATGGCTCAGAATTGATCACAATAGAGTAGGTGTATTCATTCTTTGTTTTCCCTTAAACTATGACATTAAAATTGCTTTATATTTTTCTACCAACCAATTCTTTCTTCCTGTGCTATATCCTTATGTGCAATCCTTCTTTTATATATTACCACCATTGAATTAACTACTTCTATGCATTCGGTGTTCATCTTGTTGTGCTAATGAGGTGTGGCAACTTGGACCGATGCATATATCTGTCTAGTCCTACGTTGTAGCTGACTTACTGACTGATTTCGAGAGGAAGAACTGACTGTACCCATCCTCGGCCGTACCGAAGAATTTGGGGGCAATAGTATTTACTACAACCAATGTTGAAGTGTTTATGTATGTACAGTTTGTATCAACTTCTTAAACTCCCAGTTTTTATTTGTCTTTACTTTTCCAGATATTTAACAACTTTTGATCATACCGTACACTCAACTAATGATTAGCTATGGATTTTTCCCAGCTTGATAAAGTTCGATCTTTAATTGAAGTGGACCATTGTTACACATCTTCAAGTAAAATTAATTGTGATAGTGATAACGAAATATTCAACTTGTCACCTTACCATTCAAAGTAACTTATTGCTATTCTCTTTTTAAATCTTGATAGTCTTGAAGTAGAAGAAAGTTGCTTAGATGTTGGTGGGCCTGCTCCTAGATGTTCATTGGAAGAGGAAAGAGTTCATCAAAATCTATCATTCACTAATTGTTCGTCTGTGCCTGAGTTATGTCAAAGGTTTCCTACAAAACAACCCAAAGGTTGCCTTAGTTAATAATTCTTATTGCTCAAAAACGTTATAGATGATAACCATACGTGGGTTTTGTGTGAAAGAAGGCATTTGAATCAGATTTTATCATCTCTGAGAAAAGTTTTGAGAAATGAATACTTTTACTGCTCTCAAGTTCGCATTTATTATGTCATTTGCTTTATTAATTTCAGTTTCATGATATTAAACGCCTAAATGTATACAAGGAACTTTGTCTTCATCGTGCTGCTAATACTCTGAGAAGAATATTCGCTGACCTTTTTTGGGTACGATTACTTATGGAATTTTAAATGCCTCTCATTGCAACTACTGTTATGCATATATATATCCACTACCTCGTCATAGTAACCGAACTTAACTGTTGTGATAATTCATTAAACCTAAACTTCTTGATGGTTAAGGTCCCCTGGTAATGAAATTTTGATGTATTTTTATTTTCACAGAATTGGTAATTAGACTATAACACCTCTGATGGTTATGTTACACCACTTACCCTACCGGGTTTCTGTGACATTAAAGTTATCTGAATACAAAATATAAGCAATGCAGTTGTTTATGAATCTTGTAAACTTGATACACAGTGTTACACTAGGCCATTTTTTATACGAATGCGCAATGGTATATGTATCATATGTTGATTGATAAAAGTTTCCTGAAAATCGGATAAAGATGACAAGACCGGTGCATGAAAACATCGAGTGTTAGTTTGAATAGTAGTGAGGAGCTGTGGATTTCATTACTTGTCTAGACACATCCACATTGGTACAAAGGGCATCAAAACAGATATGCACTATACAAATCAATGAATTCGTGTGAACTGATATACTTTCCGAGCGCCCAGATACAAATAGCTTCCTTAAGGGGCTACTCCCCAAGCCTTTGACCTAGAGGTCGGATTCACAAGGCAACGCTAGGAGATGCGGTCTCACGATAGTCGGTGACCAACAATAGGTTAGTACGCCATTTTTCCATTCAGGATCCTGGAGTCCACGTGCACCATTGGTTTGGAATCAGGGTTTCCTAACTCCCCTTGGTGGATCCTCTGTATCCGTCAACTCGGTCCAAGCGTCGAACATTCACTTTCCATCCTCTCAATTTCGTAAACAACGACCTCACTGAAGAAAGACATTGAGTAGGACTTACCTGGTAGTGGATGTATACGCGTGGTCATGCGAGAGCATTTCTAGAAGAAGAACAGACTCTCTCCACTCTCGACCATACCACAGCATATAAAGGCTGTGTCGGTAGCCGCAAAGTAACCGCTATCAGTGGTTGAAGGCTTTGGGTGACATGTTTCAGGATCGATCTCAATGCCTCAGAAACACTCACTCTTTGTTTTATCCTAGGTCTTGGGTTCCAGTATTCCTTTCATATATGCATTTTTATTCCTTTTCTCCAATTCCTAGCATTTCTTAATATCATTGTTGTTTTAGTTATTTGTAGTCCTTTGGTACTCTTGCTGTTGATTTTGTCTCGTACTAGTTTATTATGGCAATTTAAACCAATGCATATTTGTGTTTTGCTTTATGTTGATTACAACTGAGTGACATTCTAAAGTGTATTTTGTAGGTAGAGTAAACAAAATATTAGACTCTTCTAGTTGTTTCTGTTTTTAACCATAAAGTCAATTTGATTGAATAAATTAAAAAAACTTAAAGTTCAACAAGTAGTTCATTAAACTGCGAAGAAATTATTTACCAACTTTAACGCATTTCGAGTTACACGGGAATCACTGAAATGAACTTGACTTAAGAACTGTTGAGTAATGAGTGGTAGGATAGAGAGATTCTATGTGCTTTATAGTTTATTTCGTAAGGCTTTGGCGATAACTTTGCCGCTGATAAATTTCTCAATTCAAAAGATTTGCTACTATTTATGTGAAATTAAAAGCATCAGCAGTTCTTACGTAACTCTACTCCAACCCTTTTATTTAATTGTAAGCAGTCAAAATACAAAGTGTGAAGTTCGTACTAAGGTTGTAAAAGGCGAGAGATTTATTCGCAAATGAGGAGACACCAGAGCCCCCAAATGCCCTGGTACGGTCGAGAGTGGGGGGAGTCAACTCTCCCTCTCGCAATGCTCTCACATTGCCACGTGCACACAACCACTATCAGGGAAGTCCTACTCACTGCTTTCCTGTGGTGGGGTTGTTATTATTATTATCAATATTAATATTATTATTATTATTATTCACAAAGATCTCATTGGGTACATAAGTGTTGTGAAAAAACCATTTCGGGTTTCCTCAAAAAATGCAATGATACACAATTTTCAATAATTTTAGCATTATACTTGCCATATTAAATTTTTTTTAGAGTAATAATAGTAGAATATTAATAATAATAAATCGGGTCTGTGTAATTGAGAAGAATATTGAATTGAGTTTAAAGAAGGAAATGGAGAAAATAAGGGAATAGAAATAAAGGAAATGTGAAATACGCAAACAGTTTAATTGGCGTGTTTATGAACATAAAGCAAGAACAAACGACTATGTATATATCGTCAAATTAGTAACAAAAGATAATTAAGAAAAAAAACAACTTATTATTGCAGTAAGATATGACACTAGAATAAATGTTTGTGCAGTCATAGTCTGGAGTGATGCAATGAAAGTCTCAATTGAGTGAAAAGGATAATGAAATATCAATATGTATGAGACATATATGCATAATGAAGATAAAACGGGTCTGAGAAGTTAATTTAAGTGTAACACAAGTTATTGTCTTAATTACAAACTTCACAATCTTAAGAATATTTATTTAGAGGGAGAGAAGAAAGAAAAGAAGTGAACACTTAGTGAAAAGTTTCATCCATGATAATAATAATAATTGCGTAATCAATATCAACCTCAGAAGGAAACCAACAATTTAGAAAAATAAAATAAAAATCCTTCAATGCACTCGGATGAATACATTTAGATTTATGTAATAGTATACAGAGTGAAACCGGATATTAGTATAAATATTTGTGCAATAATAATTAAGAATGATGCTATGAAAGTCACAATTAATTTCAAAGGATAGTTAGAAATTAAGATAAGAAGATATAAAAGGAATATCTAATATGTCGGGGGAACAATAATGATATTATTATTACGAAATCGGTCGTATGCACGTGGCCACATGAGAGCATTACTAGAGAGAAAGTGAATCACAATAATATCATGAGCAATTTTATTAGATCTAATTTTCACTCTATTTGGTGCCTTCCTGTACCTATGTTAATGTGTTTAAATAAATAAGTGAACCAAAGTGTACTTTTTGCCGTTAGTCATACGAAACAGTTATTGAAATCTTGTTTTTTGAATAAAACGTAACTTTACGATATAAATCTTGCAGGGATAATACTTATTTGTCCGGACAAAAACGTCATGTACTTAAAACGTCGTCTTATTTTTTATAACAACAACAACGTTGTGGAAGTATTTTAGAAAAAAAATACTCAATCGTTAGCCTCAGTAGCAGTTTTATCGTGAAAGTTTGTATACAAGCTTTAATAAATATGATTTGTCTGCTCTAAATTTCTAAAAATAATTAGCAGTGCCAGGGTGTGGATTTCAGTAAAGGAAGCTAGATACCGTCTGTGAATTGATTGGGTTGCTTAGTCCTGATGTTAATATGTTATTGCTACAAAATGTCACTAAATACGAGAGCGCTCTGTAGACTTTTGTCATTGAATAAATTTAAGCGGTACTAAGTCCTTTCAAACCTGTATGCCACATATTGTTATCGTGCAAACGTCTGTTACTTTCTACACTAACTCATTAGTAATCATTGTAACTGACCTTTTTCTCAATCTATGTGAAACTGACTTTCGACCAATCAAGAGACCACTAGATCCTAGTTGTCCGTGAATCTGATTGGATAAATACATATTCCTCATTTAGAGAGAACCGTTAGTCTTATACATGCATCTCTTTTGCATTTAAAATCCCATTCATACGGATTGTTGGTATTAATATCAATTGATAATCAGTAATATGTTTGATATCTCATCTTCACAAATAGCTAAATTTTCAACTTTTTCTCAGCAACTTTTATTTCTTGTCTTAAAAAGATATTGTGTTCTTTTAATTTTATTAGCACATAGAAAAATGTCACAGCATTCACCTATGGTGTGTGAAAAATCTTTCAGAAACTTTGTTACCAATTTATCGTTCAGTTTTTTGTATATTATGGAGAAAAAATAAGGTGAGCAGTGATAATAACTATTGTTCAATGTCCTAACACTTAAGATATATCTACAGTTGATTTACATTCATGTGTTATTCTTAAGGTGATACTATTCCTCAAGAAAGTATAAAAATTCCATTTGATCAAATACTTCAGAGTCATTTCTTAGTGGGAATCGAAAATTATGAGGATGTCTAGAGAAATAAATGAACAGTGATGCGAATAACGATGAGATTTTACTTACATCTGTTAACCCTCATGGAATATAGGCCGCCAACCAGGCTTGCCTAACCAAATCTGTCCTGGACTCTCCTTTCCAGTTGTCGCCAATTGCTGTTCATCCTTTTGATCCCAGCCTCCAATTCCCGACTCAGTGTATTGTTTGATCCACCTCTTTTCCTTTCATGATTCCGAGTCAAGGCTTATCTTGTGATGCAGCCTGACGATTTCTGTAAATTGTAACCTATCCACCTCTAGCGGTTTTTCCTTATTTCCTCTTCATTTAGAAGTTGTTATGTCCTCAGCCACAGTATGTCATTGCTGATGGTCTCTAGTCAGTGGATCCGGAGTACTTTGTATAGATGGTTACTCATAAAAACCTGTACTTTTTGACTGTAGTTGTAGAAGTCCTCTAAGTTTCGGCTCCATACAATGAAACTGTCTTGACGTTTGTGTTGAAGATTCTGACTTTGGTGTTGGCTTTCAGACAATTGTTTTGGGTTCTATATGTTATACTGTAGGAATGCTACCCTTGCTTTGTCAATCTTTGCCTGCACATCTGCATCAGATCCTCCTTGTTCATAGATGATGCCTCCCAGGTATGTGAAAGTTTCCACTTCTTTCAGAGTTTCTCCATCGAGTGTGCTTTGGGATGGTTTTCCTACGTTGTATTTGAGGATATTTCTTTTTCTCTTATGTATGTTGAGGCCTACTGATGCAGAGGCTGCTGCTACACTTGTTGTCTTCATTTGAATTTGTTGGTGTGTGAAATAGAAGAGCTAAGTCATCTGTGATGTCCAAATCGTCCAGATCTATACAGAATGTCCTTTGTAATTCGTGTTTCGATCGAGACATTCAGGTCGTCAAAGTCCAGTCGACCACCAGAAGAAAAAGGAAGAGTGAGGTAAGCTGCCTTTTCTAATACATCTGTCAACTGTCCTCCATACACGGCTTTACAGTGTAGTCTTTCGTATGAACTTTCTATAATGTTGACGGTTTTCTCAGGTACACCGTAGTGTCGAAGAAAGTTCTATAAAGTTCTCCTATCCACACAGTCAAACTCGTAGTCAGAGAAGTTGATGTATAGTGACGAGTTGCATTCAATTAATTGTTCAGCGATGATCTATAGTGTCACTATTTGATCAGTGCTTGAACGGTCCTTACGGAATCTGGTCTGTTGATCTTGAATTTGGCCGTTTACTGAATCTTTCATCTAGTTCAGCGACATTCTGTTGAAAACTTTCCCTAGTACCGACAGTAGTGTGATGCCTCTATAGTTCCAACATTTTCTCAGATCTCCTTTCTTTGGTATCTTAATCAGGTCGCGGTTGTGACTTTTGTCCGGCTGATTGTCATGTGACTGATTCATCAATCAGAATACGACTTATGTGATCTTAGCACTGTGCCAAACCAATGATGTATTAATGGTATGAGCAGCTTAGCATCCTCACTAGTCCTTATTTGTCCTTTTCCCTGCCTAGCCCTGTCTGTTGAGTTTGGAACGCCAATATCAGCTTCCACTATGCAACCGTAGCTGCTACCTTGATGCGGTGGTCGGGCTTGCCTATCGTGATGACCCAACCGAGCTATATTGGCTGGAACATATGTTCCTATAGGTTCTACCATGCCAGGCAGGTCGATCGGAGAACGGTAAGACTAAAAGCAGCAACTCAAGGTCTGAGGGCGAAGTCGTACTGCTGACTGTAGAGGGGTGTGACAGCAGTAAAGTGTTCCCCTCGGACAACCAGCATCTGCAGCGATGCTGCCTTCCCACAAGGAGGGGTGGGGTTAGAAAAGTTCGACCCTAAAAATATCACACCTCACCTTACCTCACGGATTTCCGTCTCCGGCGGTAAGGCCCTTTAAAGAACGGTGCTAACACATTAAAAACCTTTCACGGAAAGGCCGTGCGCGACCGGCCTCAAGCAGTTGTCCCTTGTGCTCTGCAGTCACGCTCCCAGGTCGTTAAGACCAACATTAGTCCGACTTCTTTTTGAGGTTCCTCAAGAAATACCCTTTCTTCATAAAAAGTGGTTGTGTCTCCTTTACCTGAAAGATTTCTTCTGATTGTACCTCTTCGTCATTACTCTCTTTTTCTTTTGCGTTCCTTAGTTTTTTTTTCTTTTTACTTCTCTTCGAATTCCCATTGTTTTGTGTGGCGCATATATATTGGCGCTCTCTTGTACCAATATTTATGTGTTCAAATAAATAAATAAATAAATGGTCACATTCAAATCCTTCCTACACCTCCTAATACCACTCTTATCTCCACAACTAACTTTTCTCACGTCTGTTTATCACCTCACACCGCTAGGGCAAACGATTCGAGTACGCGGAACGCTATTCCTGGTCTCCTGAAACCACGCTCTAAACTACACGTAGGAGCTTTTAACGTCCGAACTTTGTGCCAAATAGGACAGCAGGCTTCCTTAGCTAAGACTTTGGGTTCTCGCGCCATCGATGTGTGCTGCGTCTCCGAAACGCGCATACAGGATCCGAGTAGCGTCATTCACTTGACCTCACCATGCCAAAATAAAGAACTGACTTGATTCACACTTCGTGTATCTGGAATCCCTGATTCTGCTTCCCGTGGCCTCGCCGACGTAGGTATAGCATTGAGTTCTAGGGCAGAACTAGCCCTCTTAGAGTAAATCCCAGCAGACAGTCGTTTGTGCGCTGTCCGACTGAACGGAACAGTAAGAATCCGAAAAGATAGGGACACTCGTCGTTGCCTCTTCATCGTCTCTGCCTATTCTCCCACTGACTGCAGCTCAGATGATGTAAAAGATGAGTTTTACAGAAAACTCTCAGACCTTCTCCGAAAAGCTGGGCGCACTGATGTAGTAATAGTGGCCGGTGACTTTGATGCTCAAGTACGTAAACTAAGCGATAGGGAAAGACACCTGGGTGGATCTAATAACATAATGGCGACCGTCTGTTGCAGCTATGCTCAGATAACCGCCTGTTCCTTGCAAATACTAACTTTAAGCATAAGGAAAAACGTCTTTTAACATGGCGACCCCCTAATTCGTCCCAACGTTGGACATGCTTAGATTCAGATCATGCTCTAGTACGAGCGCGTATTTGCCTGCGTCTTACTGGACGTAGGAAAGACGCTGCCAGGAAACCTCTTAGGGCCCTACTTAATGATAGTCAATCGTAGCGTTTCTGGACCTTGAGGCGGCATTCAACTCTGTTGATCGTGAGGTTCTACGGCAGTGTTTGTCACTGAAAGGATGCAACCCAATCTTGAAGCAACATTTTGCATTCGAGGGAGGGAATCGCATCCCGACACATGCTTGCATTTTTGCTTAGAGTGGTCAGAAGACTGCATTTTGTCAGCGTCTTCACCAAATAAAACTGTGTACTCAGCATATTCCAAGTCAACAAGTGAAGCTCCCTGTAGAAGTTCAACCCCTGTAAAGTCAGATGAGGAAAATGTTATCTCTAAAAGTACGTCGACGACAAAGTTGAACAGGAATGGAGAGAGTGTGCAGCCCTGATGAACACCACTTGAGGTAATCAATTCTGATGACAGTTCGCCATAAGCTTTCACTCGACCAGTTGTGTTCGAGTAGAGAGCCTTTACAAGGTTAATGTACTTCTTTGGTACTCCTTTCAATGAGAAACACTGCCATAGAACCTCACGATCAACAGAGTTGAATGCCGCCTCAAGGTCCAGAAACACTACGATTGTGGGGCGTCTGAATGTGTGTCTGTGTTCTAGAACCTGACGTAATGTGAATATGTGGTCTATACAACCACGTCCAGGTCGAAAACCAGCCTGATTTTCTCTAGTCTGCTCTTCACGAGCTTTAGTTAGGTATCGAAGTATTATTGAAGCTAATAGTCTTAACGTACTCAAACAACAGTCCAAAAACATCTACAATCAAATACTAGCCATTTATGAATATCCTCTATTTTCAAAGGTCACCCTTCACAGCCTTAAAGTAGATCATAACATACTACTGCACAGTTTACTCATCTTTTGGTCCGCAGACGAATAGCAAGAACTTTTATTATTGTTATTTTATTGTTAGGTTAATCCATTATTGAAAGTGCTCAATACGATTCTGCAAGAACGCTGTATGGATGATGTAATAGTTAATCGATTCTTATCTGACTTCAGATCATCTGTCAATGATGAATGCAACGACGGTGTAAAAAAAACTTTGGTAAGTTATACTGTTTATCTCTATTTCTCTAATTCTGAACAACTAAAACCTTGACGACGAAACATTTATCATGTATTGGCTGATTTTCAAAGGTTCATAAGATGAGAACATTATTTCTTAACGAAAATACTTTGTTTACAATAAAGTTTGAAATTATTTTACAAAACTTATTTTTAAAATAATTCGAGTATTTGACGAAATAAAGTTTTGTACGTACTTAGTAGATCTTGAACAGGATAAATGTAAACAGTACCCCTGGACATTTGAACACAAACGCGTCCATCCATTTAACAACAAATAGTAGTTATTCTGGCAAATTTAATTTTGTTTTTTTCCACGACTTTTAAATTCCTTAGCAGATGAAGATGCTCTGACTAACCAGCTGAGGAATGAAGAAAATACTAATCCAATCACAACAGGCTGCATATATATATATATATATATATATATATATATATATATATATATATATATATATATATATATATATATATATATATATATATATATATATATATATATATATTAGACCCGTTGCCGTTCGTGGACGAGCATTGTCCGCCCAACAGCATTCTCCATCCAACTCTGTCAGTAGAAGTGCTACAAGCGGTGTTATACATATTTTATTTATTTATATATGAGCTGTTACTCAAACAATATCGCTTGTTACATAACAAGTTTATTTATTTATGTGAACACAAACTTTTGTACAAGGGGGCACCCAATACATGAACGCCACACAATAACAATTGGGTTCTGAAGAGATAGAGAATGGAGGGTGAGTGTAATAAAAAGACGAACAATGAACAGAAATTAGTGAATGAATGCGATTTAATAATAATAGCGGGGGAATGTCATCAAGCCTTCGGGGACAACGATGATCACCTAACATTCTCAACTTTGAAAGGCTGGGTTTCGCAAGCATAAAGCAAAGCTGCTCTCACCAACGCGTTGTAGGTCTGGCTTTTAACAACCGGGCTAACATCACAAAGGCTCCAAAGACTGCCCAGGTTTGCATGAGCCTCTCTGGCGTTCATTATTCCTGAATTGATCTCATCACTCACGCCACCTCCAGCACGCTGCTATCCAGATACACGGACTTCTCGAATACTTCTATCCGCTCACTATCCAGGGTGAGTGCAAGTTCAGGTGCGTGCCAGTCTTGCAAAAGTACTTCGTACGTAGAAGGTACAAGACACATGCCATACCTACGAATATTGATTGGCGACCGACTAAGTGCGGACTACATGGCTTAGGTATCATCGCAAAGTAAGACAATATCATCCGCATACGCAAGATCGAAAAGTTTTTCTAGGCAACAGATCCACACTACCATTACCTACATCCATCAGAGCTGTTTTCAGAACGTCATCGATAGCAAAGTTGAAAAGGAATGGCGAGATTGGAAAACCCTGTCTAACCCCACGGCTTGAATGTAACGATGGAGAGAGGTGGATGTATGTCCTCACTCTCCCTGTAGTGTTGGTATATAGGGCTTTCAGGATGTTAATAAAATTCTCAGGTACACCCTTCTTCAATAGACAAACCCAGAGAACAGTCCTGTTCAATAAATCGAAGGCGGTGTCCTAACATTTGGTGGAGGGTGAATATATGATCAATACATCCTCGGCCAGAAAGAAAACCAGTCTGTTCCTCACGATTCAATCCTTCTGGGGTTTTGAACAATCTACGAAGTATGACGGAAGCCAATAGTTTGGACGCGATGGGAAGTAGACTTATCCCCGATAATTGTTCCATGGATGATGTGAACCTTTTTCAAAGATAGGGACAACTATCGATTCATTCCACGATGTTGGAACCAGACGTTTATACACAACTTAGTCGGTTCCTTACCAGAAGGTTGCCACTATCCCTAAAAAGGGTCGCAGGTAAGCCATCTGGGCCTAGTGATTTGTGGAGCTTCAAGAGTTGAAGTTCCTTGAGGACTGCAGTCTCGTTAGGTGAACCAGTCGTCACAGGCCATAAAGAGCAGGACAATCTGACGGATGTTGCCGATGCAGAAGACCAGTTGGACTGTCCATCGTTCAAGACGTCGGTAAATTTTACTGATTGGCATCCCGTCATTTTCACAGATTGTTTCACTCACACCAGACTTCTTGCTTCCAGTGACTTGTGTGCGTTGGGAGAGCTTCTGGCAGTTACTGCTTCCAACTCATTGTCACGCTCTGACTTCTCTATCCTTAAGCAAGGTGTGCATAGTTTTATTACATAATAGTCTTCGTCCATGGTCAAACGTGCGGTTGGTCAGAGTAGGCCGACGTGCTTCAAGGAGTTGTAGAAATCCAGTGCTTTTAAGTGGGACGTTTCGTGAAGAGGATAGCGACTTTACTCGCCATTTTCATGGCGTCATGCAAGTGCAGCCAATGCTCATCTATACTTTTCGGTGGGTTGATAGCTGAAAGCATTGAATATCAACTGTTCACTTGGATATCGCAACGAGCATAAATTAAAATTTGTGACATTATATGACTTGGTAAAAAGTTCTTGATATGAAGTGCACTCCACTAATTTGTATTTGTGTTATTACGGTCGGTTAAACTGGTTGTTGATTAAATATTTTATTCATTCTATTCTGACATTACAATCGCATTTTGTTGACCTGTTGATATTTAATAAAGTGATTAGTAGAGTGAAAATTAGAACTAATAAAATTGCTCATGATATTATTGTGATTCACTTTCTCTCTAGTAATGCTCTCATGTGGCCACGTTCATACGACCAACTTCGTAAACAACACCCACACCACAGGAAAGCAGTGAGTAGGACTTCCCTGATAGTGGTTGTGTGCACGTGGCAATGTGAGAGCATTGCGAGAGGGAGAGTTGACTCCCCCCACTCTCGACCGTACCAGGGCATTTGGGGGCTCTGGTGTCTCCTCATTTGCGAATAAATCTCTCGCCTTTTACAACCTTAGTACGAACTTCACACTTTGTATTTTGACTGCTTACAATTAAATAAAAGGGTTGGAGTAGAGTTACGTAAGAACTGCTGATGCTTTTAATTTCACATAAATAGTAGCAAATCTTTTGAATTGAGAAATTTATCAGCGGCAAAGTTATCGCCAAAGCCTTACGAAATAAACTATAAAGCACATAGAATCTCTCTATCCTACCACTCATTACTCAACAGTTCTTAAGTCAAGTTCATTTCAGTGATTCCCGTGTAACTCGAAATGCGTTAAAGTTGGTAAATAATTTCTTCGCAGTTTAATGAACTACTTGTTGAACTTTAAGTTTTTTTAATTTATTCAATCAAATTGACTTTATGGTTAAAAACAGAAACAACTAGAAGAGTCTAATATTTTGTTTACTCTACCTACAAAATACACTTTAGAATGTCACTCAGTTGTAATCAACATAAAGCAAAACACAAATATGCATTGGTTTAAATTGCCATAATAAACTAGTACGAGACAAAATCAACAGCAAGAGTACCAAAGGACTACAAATAACTAAAACAACAATGATATTAAGAAATGCTAGGAATTGGAGAAAAGGAATAAAAATGCATATATGAAAGGAATACTGGAACCCAAGACCTAGGATAAAACAAAGAGTGAGTGTTTCTGAGGCATTGAGATCGATCCTGAAACATGTCACCCAAAGCCTTCAACCACTGATAGCGGTTACTTTGCGGCTACCGACACAGCCTTTATATGCTGTGGTATGGTCGAGAGTGGAGAGAGTCTGTTCTTCTTCTAGAAATGCTCTCGCATGACCACGCGTATACATCCACTACCAGGTAAGTCCTACTCAATGTCTTTCTTCAGTGAGGTCGTTGTTTACGAAATTGAGAGGATGGAAAGTGAATGTTCGACGCTTGGACCGAGTTGACGGATACAGAGGATCCACCAAGGGGAGTTAGGAAACCCTGATTCCAAACCAATGGTGCACGTGGACTCCAGGATCCTGAATGGAAAAATGGCGTACTAACCTATTGTTGGTCACCGACTATCGTGAGACCGCATCTCCTAGCGTTGCCTTGTGAATCCGACCTCTAGGTCAAAGGCTTGGGGAGTAGCCCCTTAAGGAAGCTATTTGTATCTGGGCGCTCGGAAAGTATATCATTTCACACGAATTCACTGGTTTGCATGGCGCACATATTTATTGCCCCTTTGTACTAATATTTATTTTTAAATAAATAACGAATTAGTTTATTTATTAGGTAATTGAAGCTATTATTTATACACAAAATAGTATAATTAATCGTTCTTCCTTAATTCATAAATGAATAATTCTAGATTAATTATTACTAAACGACAGTAAATGATTCTTTTATTGCTAGTCATCATAAAGAAATGGTCTAATCATAATAATTATGTCATTTAACTTCGCGTATTTAAAATTGATATCTTTCTGATAGGCTAAAGTATTTTTTTCTCATCATTATCATCATCTTAATAGTTTCAATTTTTCTGCAATATTTACCAAAGATGCAGTCTTCTTCACGATCCATCATTACAAAGAATATACCTACTCAGATATCTTTAAATCGTTCAACAATTGGGGATGGAATAGTTCTAGCATGTATGACTTTTCCGGGATCTCGTGACAGTAAACGATTACAAAAATTAATCAGTTTGCTCGGTGAAATTGGACAAATTAATTTAGAAGATCATGAAGAACAAATATGTGATAGTATGAGACTTCGATTACGATTATTTGTCCGACGTGTTATTAATTTGGTAAGTGAGAATATTCACACATTTTTTACTCACACAGTGTGTATATTTTTGTATGATACACTTTTTATCGACTTACTTGAACAAGATATCTTCTGAAGTAGGCGGCTATTTGTTAAAGCACCTATTATTTATTTACAAAGATATTCTTCTATCAATCTACTGAATTACATACTTTTATGGTTAAACTACAACTATATTATAACGACAGCTTTGAAGGCTTATCAATTAGGAAGTAGTGTTTAGTTACGTAACAATTTCTAATAAAAATCAATCAAATTAAGATGGATAAACAGTTTCAACATTGTAAGTGAAAGAATAAAAGTTAAGTTTAAAAATTAGGAGTCCGACTAGATTCAGTAGTCAAGTTTACAATTGTTAAGGTTGGAAGTTATAGAATCAGGTGTTAATGATACAATATATTTGGAGTTTGAGAATACTTTTTGACCATAAAAACACTTGATTATTACTTAAAAAGCATCATTTACGTTCAGGTGCAGTCTATGTCAAAGGTGCGTATTTCTTTTTAATTTGGCTTACGCACCATGATAAATTCACAATGTGTTCGCGTGAAATTTGTTTGGTTTTTTTGACAATTTTAAGTCATTCACCAGTAGATGTACGGAAAAATAACCGGAAATGAATGATAACGGACACATACTGAACATCGATAAACGTATAAGTTACACTTATCCTATTCTTTGTTATCCCCCACGTTTTCAATGTTGCACAAAATCCGGTAAACAATGTCTTATATCCGATTGGTTCTTTTAAATTCATCGGTAGAATATAGTCTTGCCTATTTCTACTTTAAGAACTTTCGAGGATAAAGCCTTCCACAAATCGTAACTTTTTAATGTCTTGCCTTAACAACTGCCGATAAAACAAAAATGTTCATATCGTACAAATTTCTAATCAACAAACAAACAAATTATTATAGGCAGTGCAATACTAGGATTGTTAAACAACAGCAAACAATACATTTAAACTTGGTAAAATGATGTAAACATGTCATGGTAAACAAAATTTGTATCTCTACGTTAAAGCATTTTGTACAGTAAACATTGTCTTTCTCCAACAGAATATTTCATTGTGACTGGAAATATTTTATATGAACAAAACAAAGAGATCGCTCAAAATTAATAGACGAACAAATAAGTTATTTTCTCTAATCTGGTTGTTAAGATTTTTCAACTTCGATTATATTTTTCCCTCCTAAGAAGCCATACCCGTGCTTCCTCTCCAAAAATGATGTTAACTTGTTAATAGTTCTTCCATAGGGTCGTCTTTGCCACGGATTGATCTCAGTTGAGGCAGTTTGGGAAACGAGGGAGCAATAAGCAACTGCTTCGTCTTAGTATTGTATTCCTGAATAGTAAACACCAGCTATGTTGCCAGGGTTCGATCTCAAGACCTTCAGGCTTTGCAGGGAACGTTAAGCCATTAGGATCTCCAATTCAGTATCCAATATTGCAATCCTAACTGTAATCAGTTTGTAATGTAGCACAGCTACTGAGAATTCATTGGTGTTAAAACTGTTATATTAGATGTCGACCCGGTGGTTTACTGCATGACCTGTGTTATAGCGGAACAAATAGTAAAGAAAGTATAACTTTGGGGACTAATTTTCGGGTTACTGTTTGTATTTTTATTGTTCACTTATTAAATAACTGTATTATTGTATTTACCTTTACTGATTGTAAGCTTCCAATAGATATGTTAACTAATGTTATGCGTCTTACTACTCCCTCATTATTACCAATTATCCACTCACCATCTCCTTCTGTTCCCTTCCACTTTTGGCGTAGCAATGCTTAGATTGTAAGTTCATATTCATGTTGTTGTGGGAGGAGGAAATTAGTCCATGTTATTGTACGAGTTGATGCACATAAGATATAATACTCCACAACTCCATGATGTATTCCATTATCGGACGGAAGACTGAGTCAGAAGAAAGGTATACATTTTTGGCGAAGAGTTAAAATTATTCTGTCTCAACTCAAGGTTAACCTGCCAGTCAAAGCTTAGAATATTATGAGATAACTGGAATAATATATTTAGGATAGAGAAATATTTCAGGCTTCTCATTAACGGATCTTCTCTTGGGATACCGACCAACCTTACAGTCATGACAACCCGAAAGGCTCTGGTTCTGATCTATGGCAGGCTCATTGATGTGCAGTGTTAGGAAGTTTCATACTATGAAAAATCAATCTGTATCAAATACAACTTATAGATTAAACTAATCTCCACAAGATCCCTTCTAATGGATTTTTATTGTTAAGTGTTGCTTTCTTTTATTTTTACAGCTTGATGAATACAAGAATGAATCTATTTATCTAGTTAGCTTCGGTGTTGGTTCGTTACTTATGTTATTATCTGTTATACATATACTCTCGTTGAATAATTCTCGCTCAGAAAATAATTATACTAATCGAACAAGTATAAATGGAATTATTTGTGTTGGTTTACCATTAATTGGTTTAAGAGGTAAACGAGGTGAATTGAATGATCCACTCCTATCGATACCAGCTTTACCAATATTATTTATTATAGGCGCTAGAAGTCGACTTGGTGGTTATAAAGAAGCAGTTGAATTTCGAAAGAGATTATTCAATGCTAGACAAAGACAACGTCCACTAACTTCTCGAATCGATAATAATGACAATGATAATTTAATTCATATGAATTATACTAACCAATTTCGACACAAAATCAATGGATCATCTAGCATCACTGCTACTAATACTACTACTGTTGTTCATGATGATAATAATGAATTGAATTCGATCTCACCAACTTTTGATTTATTAGTTATTGGAGGTGCCGACCATTTACTTCGAATGCAACCGTCTGCATGTAGACGTTGGTGTACTACACAAAGTATGGTAGATATTAGAATGATGGTAAGCTAAACTAGGCTTACCTCAACGCAATGTATCTATATATTCGTTTGTTCTAACTCCATTTTATAATTCCATTATTACTATGGTTTATTTTTGGTTTGCCAATAAAATAAAACTTTATATAGGCTAGTACTTAGCTAAATATTAGAAATAGTACATATTTTTGACCAAGTACTTCATTGACCACGATGAGAATAAATGAAATTCAACTACACCGATTGGCGGGTATTGTAGTGGTTGTTCGCTGGGTAAAGTTATTTTATTAGTTACATCATATAACCAAAGGTTTTTTTATTCGATCATCTAATGTTATATGATTATAGAAATTTATCACTTTCATTGATGGTAGCGACTAACTCTTCGAAAATAAACGAATTAAATAACTTGACTGGAGACTAAAAATAATTCCGCCTCTAAATTCTTAAGGACGGGCTTGCAGGTTTTTCAGTTAATTTCTATCACGTAGACATTATTGAATGAGACTTATAACTTGGTTAAATGTTATCATTCTGAGTAACTCCATATAACCATTCAATTAAAACACCGTCAATTCAACAACTACCAACGGTATAAAGACAGAAATTGAAATACCAAGTGACTGGGAATACTGCATTTTGAACATACTAGTCAGCGGATCAAACCAGTGAATTGTTATGTGGTATAACGATTTACTTTATATAAACTAAATCTCCCAATAAAATCCATATGTAAATTGTTAACTCAGTTTATATGATGAATTTTTAATCTATTAAAACAAAAATAGGTTTGTGAATGTGTATGCTCTGAGTAAGGCTGTTAGAACATCATCCTGATAAATCCAAACATTGAAGAGATTTGGTTTGATTTATGTTTTCGAATGTATAATACAAGATTAGAACCACTGTTTGTATTCCTTCAAGACTAGTTGACACTTGATATACCTAATAAAGTGAATGTCAAAGAGTCGCAATAAATAAGTAGAATTTAATTTGTACAATCATAATTATTCTACGAGGTATTGTCGTGTTACACAACTGTTTGAACCTCGAAGTAGTTGAAACAGTATTCGGACTTATGATTCACTGGTTGAAAATGTAGTATTTGTGCCACAGATCCGCATGTGATCCCTACCTGTACAGTTGCATCATTCCAAATATCTTGCAAAAAATGAAATGTCACAGAGACAATTTCCGGATACTTTCCAAACATATGTGGTACAGCTTGCTAACTCGTTCTGCTTGGTTATACGGATACTAGTAATGGTTATTTAGGGAAAAATACGTATTTGTTGACTAATATTCTTTAACTGTACGTCATATCAGAATTAATTTGTGAACAAATCAATCATCACGTAGGTCATTTACTAAGTTTAGGTTTATATACTTGGCTTCAAGACGCTATCTGTTAAAGCTAATGATACTCAGCTGCTCAAATTGATGTAGATGCAAGTTCCGAACAAACAAATTATTAGTTAGATCCTAATTGCTTTGATGTCAACAAACCATTGCTTCTCAATCAGTCATAAACAGTGTCAGACCTCCACTGTGTACAGTTTGATGGACTGAAATGAAATCAACCCGCGAGGTTGTATCAAATTACCAGACAGTGAAGCTTCTAATTCTAGTTACTTACGGTTAAAATACAATGGCAATATGTCTAACAGTTGGTCTTTTCGTATGTTTCAGCTTGTAAAGTATCGGACCAGCAATTTATTGGTATCTGGTTCAAGTGCTCTTTACCGCTTTAGATGACTCCATAGTTGTGTAAATACAACACTGTAGTGTCAGTTATTATGCCAAGCCTATATACCTTATTCGAGCTTTTGGACATCCCATTCTATTCATTTTACTTGAGCCATACATTGACCTTGTTATTTATTCGCTTATCAATCTAGACTGTTTTTATATGAGCGTATATGTGTGTGCCCTTCTTATTCCATTAATCACATGTCTGTAGCTTTATTTTGTCTGACTATAAATATTGAGTAACGCTTGACAAAGATGGAGTTGGCTTCCCAGCCATCTTCCATACGTGTCATTTCGCTCTGCTCTGTTTCATTCGCTTCATATACAAAATATATGTATTCACAAGTCAATTCTCGTTATTCGACTTATTTAATTCCGTTATTGGATAACGCGATTTAAGTCGACGATGATATACGAGAAAAGGCGACAACAAACATTCGTACGCTCTAAAAAGGAGTCAGATCAATGGGCCACTAAAACACATCTCACTTAAAATGATCTTAATTTCATCCTTAGAACCATTTTCACCCGTAATTTACATCATAGATGGACTTAATCTGGACGACCATCGAAAGCCAAAGGGGAGAGAACAATGAGGATGATTGTCTTCCCAACATTATCCACTAAAATGAGACAGCTGTTCAGTATCCTCTGTTTTTCAGTTGTTGTATCTAGCTAAAATCATTCTTCACACTAAACAATATCCATAAGCCTCCTATTACTAACATATATTTATTTTTTTTCAGAATGCTATCAAAAAGTTTATTTGTAAAACTAGAATACAACCATTTGGATAGTTATCCATGGACTTTATGTTATCCCCATTAACTCCCAGTGGTAAGAGGTGATCATGACTTAATATTATTTTGACAACAATAACACATTCATAAGCATTAAATCCAGATTTTTGTTTTTACGCTACATTGGTAAGAATATAATACAATTCAACAATTTCTTTTGAATATCATCAGAGAGCGAAAATAATGTATAACCATATACAAAAGTTTACATCGTTTTGATTAGTATCAACATGATGATACATGCTATCGTTCATATTTTTTAAAGAAAAAAACAACCTCTGAAATAATTGGATTCAAATGGAATAGAGAATTACTTAAGATATGATTTTTAGTAGATGAGAAATAAACACTAAGGTGTATAATATTAATATTTTTGTATTTCGAGTTATTTACATTGTGAATTTTGTATAGTAGTTGTAAATAAATAATATTACTTGTTAATTTTTCAAATTCTCACACATGAATAACTGTACTCAAACCACAATACATTTTAATAACCTTATATAAATTTATGTGTTATACTACACACTTAGCTGTTCAAGAAAATTAATAATGAGATGGTGGGAAATATTTGTAGCTCGGTTAAATGATTTTGGTGAAGTTGCATCCTCTGTACTCGGTGTTTTGATTATGAAGCTTCCATTGTTTTTAGATACATCACCAGTTCACAGAATGGAACCTCACCAAGAATAGTAATACAATTTGTGTGAAAAAATCCTCACAGACAAAGCATAGTCATGGCTTATTGATTAGTAGTCCTAACTAAACCGATATTCGAACGAGCAGACATAATGTAACATAATCCATGTTCCTGATGTTAACCTTAAGACATTGTCGTTTGAAGTCGATCTACACTACTTGTTTGACGTCAGCTAAAATGAGTTTACACTTTGAAAACTAGGTTAAATCAGCAATTAATAATTGTGTGGTTTAGTGTTACTTGATTAGTTAATCAGAGATGTCCATCAGTACAAATTTACTCTAAATTATTGTACCCTGAGATATAAATTTGGTGAGCCCCCAAATGCCCTGGTACGGCCGAGACTGGGGAAAGTCCGCTCTCCCTCTTGAAATGCTCTCACATGGCCACGCGTATATAACATCTGCCAGGGAAGTCCTACTCACTGCCTTCTCGTGGCGGGGGTGTTGTTTACGAAAATCAGAGGACGAAAAGCGAATGTCCAGCGCTATAACCGGATTCCAAGCCAATGGTGCACATGGACTCCAGTATCCTGCGGGGACAAATGGAGTATGAACCGATTGTTGGTCACCGGCTATCATGGGACTGAGTCTCCTTACGATGCTTCACTGCCTTGTGGATCAAACCTTCAAGTCGAAGGCTCGGGGTGTGGCCCCCTAAGAAAACCGCCTGCTTCGGTTTGAGAACCTGGGCAGTATCACAGCCCTCACACATATCGAATGAGATTTGTGTGGCGCACATGTATTTGGTGCCTCCTTGTACCAATATCTATGTGTTAAAATAAATAAGTAAATAAACTTTGTGAATGTATGCGACTTACTTTGAACACTGTACCCATCATATCCAGCCCAAGCTAACAATCTTCGTTATACTAAAGCCAAGCTCCATGTTATGCCCTCCATATTTTAATTGATATGCAGTTTAGCTATCCTCACCTGCAATGTCTCAACTATAGGTAACGTTACACTAGCCGAATTTGTCATTGAACAACTGAAATCTCTGAATCAATCCCGCCTACGATTTCATCAGTGACTGGTCTGTGGATAACAGTTTTGATTACCTTAATTGATCCAAGTGCTCGATATGCATTAGTCATTCCTTACGGATCAGAAATAGAGTTTACAGTTAGTAGTATTGACGAAGCAATTTCTTAGAAAAAATCCCAACGGATTCTCATTGTGATATTAAAATAAACCCTGTCACTATCTTCCTCACTCAAATTGAATGAAGGAAATAGTAGTTTTCATGGGAGACAACCTATTGATCACATCACAAGGATACTGGGTCTTTAATCCGAAAAGAAAAATTAAATACTCTGACGAGATATACATAGTAATTAATAAAATAAACGTTCGCTAGAAACTTCATCGAATACAGATAGAGTCTGTGCCTGATTTGAAATATGATCAAAAGTAGATATATACGTATATTTGTAAAGTTTTCCTCTCAATTTCGGTCAACATTGTTTGGCCTGTTGAATTTCCGATAATAATTGTTCCCAATTAAAGTTTCTATTCGGTAATTCTGCTGTGTTTTTCTGAAAAAGTTGGTCATCATATTGTGGACCAACGCCCCAGAGTGATTCTAAATCGTACTTTAATCTTGTAGAAGGTAGAAACAAATGAAGAAAAATGGTGCCTGAAAAGAAGACACACAAAGATAAAAGGTTAATTTGCAGTTATCATCACTAACTTTACAAAGACACGAATCATTAAGTGATCTCCAGTGCTGTTAGAGTAGTTGTCATTTTCCGATTGCCCCGCCAACAAAGGGTGCTTCTTTAGGAACCTGAAAAAGCTGCTGGGTTAGAAGTGGTCGCGACGACCCAGAAGCGTGGTTGTAGCGCTTAGAGGACAACCGCCTGAGGCCGGTCATGCACGACCCTTTGGTACTTTTAGTTGTGCTAGCCTCGTATATTTACGGCCTCATCGCCGGCGATAGGAATCTGTCAGGTAAGGTGTTCTATTTCCAGGGCTGGAATGCAATTACATTAATTATGGGATTTCCTTAGATTCAGTCATTATTGATGCAGGGGGTGCATCGGTCCAAGTTGTCACATCCTACGAAGTCAACATAGAGGACAAAGCAATCAGCAAGATGAGAAGCGTAGGATAGTAAATAGTATTTAGAACAGTGAATAAATAAGCGTGAATAATACGGTTCGAAAGGAGCAAACGCATCTGAAAGACGGAAATTCGGGAATAACTTCCTAAAATCACCTAACATCAGATCATAGTGTATGCAATGTCGAGTCAGCTAGACTAGTGACCATATTACAACTTTATCGACAGAATTCGATCAACATTAAAGGACTAAACAAATGTATATTACTAATCAGTAGTCAATCAATTGTACCTTTCTCAATAGTAACATCTCAGACTAGGGAATTAAGTGACACGGGTTTAAATCCCACAATGAGCACCAGTCCTCCTAAAATTACAAGTATGCCCCGATGACGAGCGCCAATTAGCATGGAACCCAGGTCTATGGTTTTCTACTGACTACTTTCGACAACCAAACAGATTGAGAATAACTAAGACCATGACGGAGGATGAGTGCAACTGTACACTCCAAAAGAGTACGACTTACACATGATATTTAAATATTCAAGTAGCTACTGATGACGGTACATGTCTAAATAATCTTACCAATAAATTGGATTAATTTAAAGAGAATCTCACCACATACATATTTGAATACTATTTATTTTAATATCTCGTCGGTCATGACAAAAAAGGCATTTTGTGTTCTTGAGAAGACGGAGTTGGATAGTTTTGGTGTACCTTTTTAGTCACTAATCTTCACGTTGGTTAGATTCAAAACTATCATTAATTATTACAATCCACTACATGTGTACATCATCTACTGTTATACAATGAAAAAAGATACTTTAAAACAAAGAGTGCGAGTTTGTGTGCAAAAATTCTACGAACTATATTTTTTTTGCAAAATTATCTAATTATAATCGTGATAGGTGTTATATAGCTTGAGATAGGTCACACTGGCGTAAATGTACTCATTCTTAATCGTCGTCTTTCAAATCTTAAGCTTCAATATTACCTCGTACTTATCATTCTTGGGACTTATTTTCCCAAACTATACTGGATGATAGTATTTTGACTTCTTTAATTTCTACCTTTGTGATTTTTCATCGGTATCTACTGACATGAAATATGACAATTCAAACTAGTGCAGAATTAATTCATTTTTGTATTGGTTGTTTGAATCTTCCTATTGATGTTTAGGGCTGCAACTGATCAGTCTCCTATTGGTATATGTGCATCCTGTGAGGATTACCTTGATATTGCATTAAATGACAAGCATTATAAACAGAGAGATTTAAGGCAATATCGAGCCAATCCGCACATGATGCACATATGCCAATAGGAGACTGATCAAATGCAGTTCTAAACATCAATAGGAAGATTTAAACGATCAATACAAAAATGAATTAAAATTTCACCCCACTGCACAAGCTAGTGGCTATTTGGACTTAGTAGCTAAGAGAATAATGCGATGGCATTTGAAGCGAGTGGACATCAACTCTGGGATGCAGGTACATCCAGCCGACGAGTCCCAGGTAGGACGAAACGCGTCCTGGATTTCACTGCTAGACATCGTCCATCTTTGCCTATAACGCTGAATTACTTCAGGTGCTACGTTGCTTATAACAGATCGTCATAATACTAATAGAACTCACTATTATTCAGTATTTGAACTGGTTAAACTATTTACTGACCGTATAATATATTTTAACTATTCTAGATGTAGAATAAATTACGTATTGGTGGATTGATCCCTTAAATTTTTGTAGACTCATGTTCCTTTTTTCCTCTTTCCAAATTTATTTCACTGGATTATACTCTTTAAATAAAACCTCCAAACCCTAATCTTCCCGATTACTGCTTATACTCTTGCTACCTCTACCACTACGGGATTTGAATCGACAACTGCATCTCTGTGCTAAGGTGGTGTGGCAACTCGAACTGATGTACGTACGTACGAAGTTCTACGTTGTTACTGACTGACTGAGGCTCATCAGAAATACGAAATAAAATGTATTCAGTTTGATTTCGCTTACTCATATCGACAGCTATCCACTCGCAGGACCCATCGATTCCCTGGAACAATGGTATTGGGATACTTGTATTCCTCAATTTGTATTTTAACTAGGATTGATATTTAATAGAAAAAAGTGAACTCATAAATATGATCATATTTACAAAGGGATTGTAGAGAAAAGTTTACCATTACACAAAGACCTCCCAAGCTTAGTATAGCTGTTAGGACGAGAATTTAATACTTGATAAGTGATTAACGAATTTACATGAGAATGAACAAAAATCAGAACAACTTACGAGAATGATCCATCATATTTGAATGGCTCACAAAAGAGGTAGGTTAGAATACTATGCAATAAAACACAGTTACATAATATACCTGGGACATATGCGTCAGTTCCGCAATTTGTTCAAGGATATCAACCAAACACTTATTTCGCTTATATAACTTTCGTCTGACTAATGCAGACCTACCTACTTTACCACACATCAGTATCTGTGTGTAAGTCCATGTTTAGCTATAATGCTAGTAGAAGGATGAACTCCTAACGACTAAATTCTCACTTAGAGATAAGTCAGAATACGTTGGTCAGTCTATTTTTTTTTTACCGATTAGAGCTGGTGAACAGGTCTACGAGGTGCTAGGAGTCTCCGGTAATTTCTACTTCTGTACATTTGGCTTTGACGTTTTTTGGAATATATTTCTTTACAACTGTTAAGCCAAGTGAAATCCAGTGGTCAAGGTGTACTTCGTAAGGAAGA